AGATAGAGAGTAGATAGCTGGAGACATTTGTGTGTGTCTGCAGCCCTGTGGGCCCTGGTCTAAATACCGGGTTGGGGGTTTAAGTTTTGGTCATATGTGCTTGGGTATACAGTAAGTATTGGGGCTTTAGGACCCTCCTGGAACTCACGGTGTGTGGCAGCACAGGGTATGGTTGTGGTTGTTTTTGCGTATTAAGCCTTACTTTGTTTCAACGTGTATCTAGCCGGGCAGAGGCATGGGTCAGATTGCCATCAGGCGGGCATTCATGATATTGTGCCTTAGGGTTCGTGAGTTGGCTTGCCGTACAATGTGTCCGGAACCCTACTCTTATCGTCAAGGCCTTGATATTGCCGGAAGTGGGGAGACCTTCACATTGTGGGCAGTTGTCAAGATTAGGGTCCGTTTTGGGGTACCTTAAATAGTAGGTGCCGTACTATACTAGGGACCCCAAAACGGACCATAATTCTGACAACCACTCACGTGAAAGTCCGGTGTATGACCATGGACACGGAGCCCAACACCAGATCACGATCGAGATCCGACTTAGTCTCCCCGAATCCTAAACCCTAGCCCTAACCCTCGCTAATCCTTAAACCCTAAATTAAGTCCTAAAAACTCTAAACCCTAAAGCCTGAACCTTAAACCCTAAACCCTAAACCTTAACCTCTAAAACCCCCAAGCCGGGTTTAGATAGAGTTTCTTGGTTTGGGTGGTGCCTTCGGGCTTTCGGGGCTTGGGGTTCAAGAAGTTCATGGGGGTGCATACCCAGACCCCCGGGAGGATCTAGAAAGTACTTAGGGGTACTTGGAAATATTTTTATTTTTGGTGATTAAAACCCCTAAGAAACAGCTAAAATTATGATTTTTGCTAGGGTTCTAAGTTCAGTATAGTAAATCCCCCAATTTGGGGCCCTATACTACTAGGGGTACTGTATGGGAACCCCGATTAAGGGATCTACTTTTGGGATCCTCCCGGGGGTCTGGGTATATGGACTCTGCGAGAAGCCGGTGGGAGTAGCTCGGTCCTCAATCATTCATCGGTAGACATAAAGGTCCATCAACACAGTCTGCAATAATTTTGCCAGCTGTCGCAGAGCCAGTGCCTAACGGTTAAAAGCGTAGCATTGCTAGAATCATCCAACATGCCCTTGACGTGAACTGCGTCATCTGCCTTCTTAGGGTCCATGTATCCATGTGCTATATACCTTGGCCCTGAATTACCTAGTTATTTAGGGCTTAGGATTTAGGGTAATCTGTAGGGATTACATCGAGGCCAACATGTTCTTCAATGTGCCAGGAGGCTCCAGACAAGGGATCCTGAAGCAGGTCGAGGCCGCTTCTACGATCTGATTTACCCCCATTCCCATAACGGTCCATGTATATAGTATATACATGGGCCTTAAAGTAGTCCCCATATAGGTACTTCAGGGCCAAAGTATCTAGTGTATGGGTACATGGACCCTTAGGGTTTACAAGCCCTATGATAAGGGATCCTCAGTTGAGTCATCTTGGGGTCTCTTGAAGTCTTGGACCCATTGACCAGCTAGCTTTCGACAGAATCCGACTCCAAGATATCTGGGATTCCAGAGCCAGCCGTGTCCTGGTCTGCAGTAATTCAGAGCGAGGTACGAAGACGTATCCGAAAGGGGCCTGCAACAGCTGAGGTTTAGGGCGAAGACGTATCCGAAAGGGGCCTGCAACAGCTGAGGTTTAGGGTGTTGGGCTTAGACCTACGATTTGGGTTTTTTTCAGGAAGTCCTGCAGTTCGGGGCCTGTACTTGTTTGCAGAAGATCATCGGTGGCTCAAGCCATGGCTCCCTGCCACAGAACCGGAGCATGCTCGATCAGTGACTACCCATAGGCCCCAAAGTAGTTCCTTTTTGGGATTACCTTATAGGATTCTATTTACCCAACCCCAAAAAGGAACTGCTTTTGGGGCCTTAGGGTAGTGACTCCTGACTTTGTTTGCGTTGTCAACCTGGTATAATCCCAAGCTGTACGATTTCCGGATTGGCTCAACCTCCACATATATCCTAAACCTTGAACCCATAGGACTCGCTCCATGTCAGGCTTCACTCTTGCAGGTGTCGGTGTTTCTCCTGGACCCTAAGGAACTTGCATTTTTAGGGTTCCTTGTCATGATTTCCTTATACAAGTCCTTACAACGCTAGGTTCTTGGGGGTTATGGTAGGAGTTGCACGGTACTTTGCAGACGAAAAGCATTGGAGCCCAAGCATCGGCACATCCACCCCCTGGACTATGATAGGGGCCTTAAATAATAAGTAAAGTAATTAAGGGGTCCATCCCATCTCCTGGACTGTAATTATAGGGGCCTTAATTAATGATTAGAGTAGGGGTTGGGGACCCATTATACTATTTTTTTTGCGGAACCCCCAAAATAGTATAGGCAATAACTAAGGCCCCTATAGTAAGCGATTCGCGGTCACCGGTGATTGCTCCGGTGTTTCGGTGGTTTTCAGTGTAATTTCCATGCTTACTGCGAATAGCATGTGCTCCAAGATGGCTGGTTGTTCGGTGGCACGAGGTACAATCGAGCTTCCGACAATGGGCGCATGTTGCAGCATCTTGATCGGAAAGGGACCCTGAACAAAAACGCGCCCGCACACAGAAACACGGAGCCAGACCCTTACAGCTAGGGCGGTGAGGGTTCACAGACATCCAGGGCGCGGCAAAGCTTCATCAGGTTCGTCCTACTAGGGTTTAAGGAAAATGTCCTATGGCCCGAGATAGTTCGTTCCAGCGGTTGCTGCCTCGCACGCAGAAAATCCTCCCGCCAACGGCGATATGGCTGAAGTGCATTGCGTGCCCTAGACAACTGAATCTGAAGCGCTGCAGTCTAAACCCTGAAACCCCAAATCGATACACCCTAAATACCCCCGACACCCCCCAAATATTAAAACCTCAAATGCGCTTACAGCACTGATCTCTTCAGACCCACAGCCTGAATGGGAGAGGCCAGCCACTGCTTGGAGGGTCGGGGGACTTAGCAACTGGTTTTTTTTAGGGACTTATAAGTACCATAACCCCAATTAGGGTCCCTTTTATAGGGTACTTATAAGTCTACTTGCTACCTACTTACTAAGTCCCCCGACCCTCCAAGTGAGAGTGGCTTTCTCACTTTCCCAGGGTGCCTTTGAAAGGCGAAAAGAGCAGCCGTGGCCCGACACAGAGGGGGTGACTGAACGTCCGGGAGTTCATGTCACTGCAGCAGCTTAAACGAGTACCAGCAGCATTCCTTAGAAACTATGATATCCCGCAAAACCTAGTTCTATACGTATATTATATATATATATATATATATATATATATATATACAAATATATATATATATATATATATATATATATATTTGTATATGTATGTATGTATATGTATATGAAAGAGCACCTCTACCTGGACGCCCAGAGAGCCGTCAAATGGAGCCCTTGGAAAGGATTCAGGCCTTCGGGGAGTTTGGGTTTAGGGTTTGGGGCTCCAGGGATTATACAGCAGGGTTTAGAGTTGTAGGACGTTGTAGGGCTTGAGTTTTTGTGTTTTCCTGTTTGGAGGTTTGGGCTTCGATTGCGTTCGGACAAGCGTTTCGGGTTGAGTTGGTCACGTTGCCTCGAGGGGTTCTTGGGTTCAGGGGTCAGTAAGCCTCAGAACCCTAGATGCTTCAAAGCTATGGTGGCCCACGGATGCAGCCATCAGTGTTGTGGCTCGGAAATTCGGGGAAGCAAAATCGATGCGGATGCGCGCCATTTGTGATGGCTTCTGACTGGGTTTGCCTAAGATCGTCGAGGGTTTCCATATTCTGAGGCTTAGGGCTTAGGGTTTAGGGATGCGTGTAGTTTAAAGTACGAAGATGGTGTTGCGCAGGCGAAAATCTCTACTCACTCTACTCCCTCCCGTTTGCTGTTTACACCCATTTCCTCGCACAATGTTCAATCTAGAACCCTTCCTTACCTCTGAAAACAGAAACTGGCCCAAACCCTCAGAACAGACAACCCTCAATATCCCACACCTGACTTTCTGGAGGAGCCCGCTCCCTTGACATAGGGGCGTGAATAACTACTGCCGTATTCCTTTGGGATTTAGGGCTCCTTATCCCTAAGGGTCCATGTACTCATATAGTATATACATTGGCCTTAATGTAGTCCCTATAAAGGTACTTTGGGTCTCATGTATCTCTATTTGGGCACATGGACCCTTAGGGCTATTTATTATAGACGATTAGGAGTTTTGGCTTTAGGGCCCAGGGCTCAGGCAAACCAGATGACATCGATCCTGGTCGAGACACGGGTTGGCGGAAGCTGGAAAGTTTAACGGCGTATGCTACCAATAGTCTCCATTGTAGTTCCTTTTCTTGGGTGACCAAAAACTCTAGTATAGGATCCCGACTATAAAACTGGAACTACAGTGGAGACTATAGGTAGGATCTGAAACCATTGTAAGTCTTTTGCCTTCTACATTTCTGTTGTCTACGACTGATGTGTTGAGGCTGCATGCCTACGACTTCGCACAGTCCTGCAACCCCTCAGTTCAGACCCCAAAGACTTTTCAAAGAGATCCAAAACTGTATGATCTAGCCCTAACCAAAACTGCTCCGACTCGAAAACCCCTGGACCCCATAAGCCCTAAACCTCAAACCGTTGAACACTGTTCTTGCGACCCCAAACCATAGACCGTGCATATTCCTTCAGGCTGACAGGGACAGTTTTCAGCTTGAAGGGCTCACGTTTAGCGAGTTTGGATACACTCGAAACCCCGACCCTAAACTCTGGAGTCTAAGGACTTATGGGAGCCTTTGGGCTTTATAGACTTCAGTTGTTAGGGTCGTAGGGCCGAGGGCTTCTTTCAGGCGAGCTGCTTGTCGAACACAACCTACACAAGTTAGGAACCCTCCCTAAATCCTAAACCTCGGCCCAAGAAGCCTAGACGCCGGAATGTTAAATCCTACACCACATACACCTCGAACCTGAACCCTAAGAGTTTGCTGAGGTATGTGTTGCAGAGACCGCCTCCGGATGGGAGCCAGCCGTCCCGCTGACGGATTTTCGAAGCCGGTGCATGCTAAGATCTTGGGTTCAGAGGTTTGAGCTGCTTCCTCTCTCGTGTCTCCCTTGTGTGTATACGTGAAATGCAACTCAACGCAATGCAATACATCGCAACGCAGTATATGTAGTGTAATGGAAGGTAGTGTAGCTTAGTATTTCGTCGGGTGCGCATGTATGTACGTACGTATGTATGTATGTTACATACATATGTACATGTATATATGTATGTATGTATGTATGTCTGTATGTGAACCCTTAAACCCTCAACACTCATGAATCCTCAAGCCCTCAAGCCTCAAAACCCTCAAGCCCTAATCCCTGAAGTGGTTGCTAGCACGCTTTCCGGCCAGGCTGGTTGCTAGGCCTCTGTTCACGTCTTCAACCCCTCCAACACCAGGCGGCAGAGATTTGGGACATTTGGGTTTTCGGTTCAGGATGTATAGAAGTCGAGGTTGAATGTCGAAGGTTGAGGGCTGAGAGCTTGAAGTTTCTGTTCAGGATGTGCCGTGGTTGAACGTTTGAGTGTAAACAACGAGGCTACAGGGGTATCGCGATTACAGCCGCGTCACATGATATCGGGACCATGATGGATTGCCTCAGATTCCATGCGAAATTCGCGAACGCGCCCGAAATAACATCATGTGTCTTGTTTCGGCCGACAGCCCTAAGCCTGCGACAGTCTGCAAGTGTTGACTCGGGACGGTTATTGCAGGCTTTGCCCGAAGAGGCCAAGGGATTCTGGCCCAGATCCCCAAACCAAGTTTGGGGCTTTAGGCTTTGTTAGGCTCTGCGGTTTGGGGTTTAGGGGAAGCCCGAAACCCCAAGCCTAATTCCTGCTGGCTCTGCTCGGTAGCTTTGGGTCTTGGGAGCTGTATCCGACAGGGACGCCGTGGCGTTTAGGTGGCGGCCTCGATCTCTTTGCTGCATGGGGTCCGAAGTATCAGTAAAAATGGGTCGAAATAATGACCAATCGTGTGCGATTCGCTTGTGACTCTACAGTCCACCGAATAGAATTGAATATTGTGCTATTTTTGAGGGTCCTTCCTTCATACAAGTATATGGCATAATATACACCGAAGCTCTGTTCTAACTGTTCAGGCCCCCGTATTCAACTCTCGCTGTATTTGAGGGATCAGCGCGCTTTGTAAATAGGGTCAAAGCAGGGTCACTTCCTGCAATTTGTCTTCCTGGTTTTCAGAAATCTGCAGATGAGTGCTCTGCTTAAGCTAGTTAGCCTACATTAAGTAACTCTTTTCGGAGTTGCGAAAGCAAATTGATGCACTTGCAACCCATGTTATGTGCCTGTCGCTGCCTCTAGATGTAGTGTTGTTACCCTAAGAGTCCAAGTGCCCGGTAGGGCTGTAGGTACCACAAACCCCTTCAGAGGATAGTATTTAGTATTTGGGGACCTGAAATTAGTGGGTCACTTGGACCCTTAGGGATACTTCGATTCCAACCCTACAAGCCATGGCCGACACTCACAACGCTACGAAGGCATACACTGTACATCCGACAAGACCCATGTCAATGAACCTGTAGTGCCCCAAAGGGTCCAAAGTATACAGTAGATGTGGAGGGTTTCTACATTAGGAAGTATTGCTATGATTTGGGGAGGTATCTCTCATAACAGTACCTAGGACCCTTTGGGTGCGGCTTAGAGTTCTTGGATGTAAAGTATAACATGTCGGACCATATGGGAGTTTCCGATAAAATTAGGGGTGCCCTATTTTGGGGTCCGTATATTAGGGATTCTCCTATTTAGGGCACTAGATTAGGGTCCCCCATTCTCGGAATCTCCCGTGTGATACTGTAGAAGGCCTGGGGCTCCGCAGGGGTGCTTGGGCCTGAGGCATTGGGTTATTGAGTTCCAGACCCCCGGGAGGATCTAGAAAGTGGATCCCTAATTTGGGGCCCTACCTAGAGGCTCATACCCTACCCCTTTTTTAGGATACCTAGTTTTATGGTTAGGATCTGGTATCTTAAAAAGTAGGCGCCCAAGAAAAGGGGTAGGGTATGAGCCTCGAGGTATACTACTTTTGGTACTTTATAGGAACCCCGATTAAGGGATTTACTTTTTCTTTGGATCCCCCCGAAAGTCTGAGTTCTTGCCGAGGGCTGTAAACCTTACAGGCCGAAAGCACGAGCCTTAAAGAGCGCAGGCTGCCTCAGTTGAGTAGGGTTTCGGGGAATATCATGCTCTAGTCACGATACCATGTTCCAATATTTTTTACAAAAAATTGTAAGATAGTCACTGTACCATGTTATAGATCTGTTGTAATAAGTATACTGAAGTGACTATAACAAGTTACAGGAGGGTGCCCTGGTTGGGTTTGTGTTTCTGGATTCTGGCTCAGGCTCAGAGGCTGCACCACGGCCGCTGACGCCGGCGCAGGTTCCCCATAGGGCGAACCTGGACCCTAAGAAGTCTACCCTTTAAATTTTACCCCAAGGGACCAAGTACCTAATAATCATATACTCCCCAACATCCTAACCTACATAACTACTATCCTAAAACCGAGTACCTAATTATTGGGTCCTTTGGACCCTTGGGGTTTAGAGATCCTTAATCTGATTTCCTTATTTCGGGTTTAATGTAGGCGCTGGTTCCTTTTGTACCCGGGAATATTTAGACAGCCAGGGATTCAGAAGCCAGAAGGGTGCAGGCTTTACACTTTTTCTGTGTTTTCGAGCTTAAGGCTTAAGCGCGAAGCCACAAAAACTGTGAGTTACAGGCTCAAGGCCTGAAGGCTTCGATGGTTTTGGCCGGCTTGCGGGTGCGAGGTCTAGTTTAGTTTAGGGTTTAGGGTTCAGTGTTCCTGGTTCGTTTTGGGGCGGCTAGTAGCATCCCGATGTGCCCAACGACCTGCAGACTTGGTTGCTGCTACTCAAGCTCAGGTTTAGGGTTTAGGGCTGAGGGTAATCATCCAGAACCCAGCAACCCTGGATGATGAGTTATCCTGCTAACAGAGTCTAATTTGCTGCGTGAGCTGCGTGGGCGCAGGGGCGCGGTGTTTGGTGTACGTAACTCCCAAATCTTTACAGCCGAGTGACGTCCTTGCGTGCAGCTGATTCTTCGTGTCTGGGATTTAGTGCGAGGTTTAGGGCTGGAGCAGTTGCGGCAGAACACCTCCACAACACCAGTATCAAAAGTGTTTCAGAAATGGTAGCAGTCGTCGTGATAGTCGTAGTAGGCGTGCTGGTCGTCATATGGTAGTAGCAGAAGTCCTCGCAGTAGTAGTCGTCGTCGTAGTAGTAGTAGTACTGATAGTAATCAGTAATCATAATAACAATAACAATAAATAATAGTAGCAGCAGCAGCAGCAGGAAGAGGAGCATCAGGATTACGACTGCTGCTGTCACCAGTAGGAGCACTAGTAGTAGTAGTAGTAGTAGTAGTAGTAGTAGTAGTAGTAGTAGTAGTAGTAGTAGTAGTAGTAGTAGTAGTAGTAGAAGTAGTAGTAGTAGTAGTAGTAGTAGTAGTAGTAGTAGTAGTCGTAGTCGTAGTCGTAGTCGTAGTCGTAGTCGTAGTCGTAGTCGTAGTCGTAGTCGTAGTCGTAGTGGTAGTAGTAGTCGTCGTGGTGGTGGTAGTAGTAGTAGTAGTAGTAGTAGTAGTAGTAGTGGTAGTGGTAGTGGTAGGAGCAGAGCAGAGGAGCAGCAGCAGCATTTGAGGTAGCACTGTGCATACAGATGAGGTACTACTACAAACATCTCCAACAAGGGCTTACCAAGCCCAACATTCTGCACCTCCCAGTTCCTACCGGTGCGTGCCCAGAGCTGTGCTCTCAGAATCCATGAATGCTGGTTTCGGTGTTTGGCATGTAGGGTTTGGGACTTTGCTAGTTGCGTGCCTTTAAGATGCATGGCAGAGGGCGGGTGGCATGGGGGACATGGGTTTTTGGGGTTTCAGGCGTCAAGGTCGTGGACGCTTGGCCCGGTAGGGTCCAGCAAGAGCATGCATTGCAACACTCCCAGCAATGTTTGACTGCGCTGCATCTCCATACTACTGACATGTTACACGTGAGTAGCACTGCCACCTGCTACAAACTGTCGTGCGTGCCGGGTGCGAGTCATTAGTTATGACATGAAGTGTCAAGACCCCGACCTTCATCCTCCCATTAAACCATAGATCCAGCCCAAGAGCTCCAAACCCGAACCCTAACCCTGCTGAAAATCCGAAGCCTTAAACCTTGAGCCCAAAACCCTTAACATGCTGCCGTTGGTCTTTGCTCTGCCTGCAGGAAAAACATTGCTCCTGGGATGAAAGTGGTAAGTCTAGTCGGAGGCTAGACCCTAACCCTAAACCTTAAAGCCACAGTGAGGTCTTTTCAGCCTGTCAACCGGACACTTACCCTGACCGTGCGTTCTGATTCAGCGTCGTCTTCAGGAAATAGTTAGAGCAGGTTTCGTTAAGGGTCCCACGTTTTAAGTTTTAGGGGCTTAGCGGCCCATGTGCCCATATAGTACGTACTTTGGCCTTCAAGTAATCCCAATACATGTGCTTTATTTAGGGCTCATTAACCTGTACTATATGGGTACAGGTACACTTAGGGGCACGAAGGCCGAAATAGAAACCGACCTCACCCTAAGGGTCCATGTACTCATATTGTCATATAGTATATACATTGGCCTTAATGTAGTCCCTATAAAGGTACTTTGGGGCTCATGTATCTCTATATGGGTACATGGACCCTTAGGGCAGTGGGGACTACCCTATAATGGGCTGTGCACATAATGGGTATATAATAGCGATATTTAGGGTATATACCTAGGGGTCCTTATTAAGGGTCCCTCCTTTTCCCCCTGGACTAGAGTCTCCATTGTAGTTCCTTCATAGAAACCGACCTCATGTGTCCGAGGCGTCACGATCCCTGTGTCATGGTACTTACTTTGAGGATCAGGGCCTAGGGTTCAGGGTATAGGATTTAGGATTTTGGTGTGACATGGTACCTATGTATCTTAGGGTCAATGGGGGACCCTAACATAGTACCCTCAATAGTGGGATCCTTATTATAAGGACCCCAAAATAAGGCACACCCAATTTCGGAAACTGTGTCCGAGGCGTCACGATCCCTGTGGCCGAAGGTCCCCGGAACCTGCTGAGCCCAAGGCGGTCTTGGCGGCCGGGGGTCGCCTGGTCCTAGGGCCCTGTAGGTATAAGGGTCCTTTAGGGGTCCCTTTAAAGGGACCTATATAGGGGTTCTATAAAGATGTAGGGTTTAGTGTAGGGCCTACTTGGAGGTTCATGGGTAGTTATAAGTAGGGTAACTGTAACTGTACTTATAACCCATATTAGGGGACTTATAACCCCACCTATAACTACCCATGAACCTCCAAGTAGGGGTTTACCGCGAAAGAGTCAGGGTCAAAGGTTCAGGGTTTACGGTACCGGTTTAAGGTGTTGGCGCATCGTTTGCTAATCGTGCAGCATGCCAGTTTCGATTTTTAGTATGGAGGTGTCATGATACAGAGTTATAAGGAGTGCAACAACCAAATGCCCGCATATACCGGATATACCAGCGTTCAAATAAACCAATCGGATACGAACACAGGAATATGTTGTTAATTAGAGCTGTATGTAGCCAAAACTCCAAAGCAATGCTTCCAAAAACAGACACCCTAGCGGGCTTGCGGCATTCCAGTACAAATATTGAATACTCTTAATTTGAAAATCTAGTTTGCCGTAGGGCATGACTGAATCAGACTAATGAGTGAAGCCGCAGTTGCCAAAACAATGTATCTACAAGGGTTTAGAGCCTAGAGTTATAGAGAGCAGTCACACATGCATAAAATACGAAATGTATCGCCGGCTGCAAGGCGAGGGTTTTAGCACATTGTCACAGGTTTCGACGAGGTTGTTGCAGAATTTCATGACGTTGTACAGGCTAGGGCTGGTCAGCATTCTGAATCGGGTTTAGGGCTTTAGGGTTTAGGGTTTACGGTTTAGGATTGTTTTAGTTGTAGGTGCAACTAATCAGGATTTGCGTCTTCCTGCATTAATCTCCAAACTAACTAGGTCCCTAGGTTTGCGGAGATTGTGAGACGCGCAACGGAATCGTGGCTTCTGTACGGGGATGATACATACAATACTGGAACGAGCAATGTGAGAAGCATCCATAAACAGCCATGGAGACTTGGATACTGCCTTTTTGATGTTAGCTTCAACTCGGGTACAAACACGTGTGAATTACGTATTCACGTGCGTAACAGAAATCAGCAATACCGACCGCAGCAACAGCAGCAACAGCAGCGACAGCAGCGACAGCAACAACAACTACCACAGCAACAACAATCACACCAATCGCAACAAGTAATCGTTTCCCCCTAATATTAAAGGACTCCCCTCCCTAGCATAAAAACTGGATTTCGGAGGTTTAGTTTTATATGAGGGGGGGTTTCGGTTCGGTGCATCCACGTATGAGTGGGGTGGACAGGAATGAATTCGTGAGTACAGTCAGACAAGGTCGGCGGCGAGCAATTCCTGCGCAGCCGTTCCGGCTGTAGACAGACCAGACAGTCAGCCTGCCTCGTTTGGGCAGACCTCAGGCTCGACAGTCAGTCAACGACATTTGTGATCACTGTATTACTTATTCGCTGGTCGGCAGGCCATTTTGGCCACGCCCAAACAAGACAGGAGAATCGGAGAAGCAGTCGAGCCAGTAATCGACATCTTGCTGTGCTGCAACAGGACAGACTCACTAGACGGACGTGACAGGCTCGACAGCCAGTTCCGTCTTTCGGGTGTTTTATTTACTGAAGCCATCCAAACATTTTGCAGGACCAGCAATGGCAGTTGGACCAGAAGCCCTGCACGGCATGTCGCAGACAGACAAGGACCGGTTGAGAGAGAGAGAGAGTTGGTTTTGCACGGAAAACATTAATAATTATGCTGCAGGACAGTCTTTTGCAGCAGCTCTTGAAGCAGACAGCTCTGCTCACCCAGCTGGTGTGTGCCCCAGCAACAGAAAGGCAGCCTTCTCAGACAGCCGCTACTCAGCAGGCACCTGCAGAGGCAGTTCTTGTAGAAGCAGAGGCAGCAGCGCCTTCAGAGCCTGGGTCTGCGAGAGAGCGACGACAGAAACGGCAGGGAGAGGCTTTGCGGAAACTAGAAGCAGAGGCAGCCTCGGAGAGGAAGAGCCCTCCCAAGACCCCGCAGCCAGCCTTCCCAAGACTTCCACCATGGCAGGGGCCCTCGAGACAGGACAGCCAGAAGAGCTTGGGGTCTAGCTCGGCCAAGACGCCAACCCCCAGGAAGCTGTTTCAGACCCCAGGCAGCGAGGAATGCTTCTTCAGAGACAGACAGCTGGAAGACTTGAAGGAAGACCTCAGGACGCCCAGTCCGGTAGCAGCCAACATCCGGATAGACTGGATGTTTGGCAAGTCGGCTGAGAAGACAGCCAAGCGAGATCTGGAGCGAGATCTTTCCGCAAAGCAGCTTCAGCCAGGCTAAAGCAGGAAGAGGACAAGGCCCTTGAGACAGCCCTAAGGTCTGGTCACCAGCCAGCGAAGGTCTGTGTCCTGAGAGGCCGAAAAAAGGGAGGCAGACCCAAGGGAGCCACAGACAAGGCTGCTCGCCCAGTCAACGGTCTCAGAAAGGAACGGGCAGACGTGTCAGCCGTGGGCAAGCTCAAGCTTTTCCAGCAGGCAGACGAGCTCGTCGCCAACACAGGCTCCAAGAGAGGTGCCGTCAGACGCCTGCAGGCGGACTTTGGCATCAGCGAGAGCATGGCACAGGAGCTCCTGTGGCCAGCCAAGAGAGCCAAGGTGGAGCAGTTCGTCGAAAGCACTCCTCAAGGCCAAGACGGGCTCAGGCCTCAGGGGAGCCACCTAGGCCTTTAAGTCTTTAGGAAGACCAGACTTGCTGAAGCCGGTTTGGCAACAGTGACTCCAAAAGACCTTCTAGACGACTTCCTAGACAGACTCGAGAAGAGGATCGCAGTCAGGGAAGCCGAGGAGAAGGCAGGCAGTTTGACGCCCGAGGCAGCCAAGGAGCTGAGGCACTCAGACAGAAGGCCCACGGCCTTGAGACCAACCCCAGGCAGAAAGAGAAGTACACAGCCTCGTTGGTGGTCAAGTGCCAAGTTCGTCGGCGGTCAGCCCAGCAAGCTTGAGTCTGGCTGAAGAGAAAGCCAGACTGGAGGTGTCCTGGAGGCTGTGGGACCAGGCACTCCAGGCAGCCGCAGACCCGGCAGGCAGTCAGACTTTGGCAGTCGCTGAGCAGACGGGAAGCTAGACTGGCCAGGAACCCAGGCAAAAAAGGCCAGTCAGCCAAGGAGAGAATCCTCAACTACTTCCAGCCAAGCAGGCAGCTCCATCCTGGTCGTCTACGGACAGGATTGCAGGTTGGAAAACATCTGCAGCCAGACAGGCACCTGCCTCACAGACGAGGAGTTCTATGTCCGAGGCAGACACTTCGTCAGACGTGCAGGCGAGGCAGTCCCAGACCAGGTCTGAAGTCCTGGCAGCTCTTCGCAGACAACACAGTCAGAGTCAGCCAGCAGCCGTGATGGACTCTGTGCTGTACAGGCGGCAACTCGAGCCCGAGGCAGACGAAGCCAGTCAGGCTTTGAACCTTTTAGTCTCCACACAGCCGCCCTTTTGCATCGGTGTCGCTGCAGGCTGTACAGGGCTCAGCGAATGCTGCTCTAGCCAGGTGGCCATGCGGCTGAAGGCCCGCAGACAGGGAGTCACCTGCACGTACAGGACCCAGTGCTCAGACATCTGCAAGATTGGCGGAAGGCGAAAGGCAGACGATCAGCAAACAATGCTCCAGCAGATCGTGCCTCGAGCAGGCAAGAAGCCTTCCAAGAAGGCTTCAGTAAAACACAAGCGTTTGCCCAGTCTGGCAGACAAGCAGGCTCGCAAAGACCAGGCCAAGGACCAGGCCAGGCAGCAGCAGGCAAAGCAGGCCAAGGCTCCCTCAGCCAGGGACGGGCCCCTCAAGGGAAGCAGGCACGAGTGGTCGGAGACAAGGTCGTGCTAGCCAGTCTCAGAGGCCAGCTCGTCCAGCTGCTGCAGTCCAAGTCCGGGCAGCCTCAGGACAGCAATAACTGAACCATAAAAGACGTGACCTTGGACTGCGGGGAGCCAGTCTGGCCAGACTTTGTAAACCTGGCCCCAGGAGCTTCAGTCAGAGGAGAAGCACCTTGCAGGCTTGGCTCCTTACAAGAAAGGAGAGCTGCTCACAGACTCGCAGCTTCAGGCAGGTCTTCGAGTGGAGCTCAGCGCTGGAGACTATCCAACAGGACTGCACGTCTTGCTGCCAGCGCAGCTGGAGGTCATCCTGCAGACACAGGAGCTTCCGCAGGAGCTCCTGTCAGAGCTCCAGGCGGCTCCAGATGTGGCCAGGCCGATGCTGCTGCTTGCACTGGTGCACAGCCAGCCTCCCAGACACTACTCCCTGGTCGTGCTGGAAAGACAGGCAGACAAGCAGCTCGCTTTGAGCTTGCGAGACACTCTGCCTAGCGAGGCTTCTTACGAGAAGTGCAGGCAGCTGCAGCATCCAAGACAGAGAAGAAAGAAAAGAAACACAAGGAAGGCTGACAGGCCCTGCGACTGCACATTGAAACAGTCGGCCCCGCATTAACTAACCACGCTGCTGCCGTTGCTGGTCTTTTGGATACGAGGCTCCGCCCGACTGACGCCGGGGCTTAGTTTTGCGACAGACAAGGCAGGCAGAGTGCTGCAGTGGATGGAACTTATAATTATGAACTGAGGAAGTAATTAAAAAATGATTTCATTAATTATGGATGAATTCATTGAATCATCTTCTGCTCGCAGCACAGTCTTTCAGTCTGAACTGTCGCTCTGACTCTTGCAAGCAGACAGACAAGGGGATTGTTTGCCTTCTTGAAACTCCAAAATGACAGAGTGTTGCAGCCACGCAGAGAGACAGGGAGAGAAAGAGAGAGAGGGAATCGGAGTCCAGCTGTGAGCTTTGCAGTGCCTGCCTTCTGCAGCAGCTGCAGCCAGCCGGCCTCAGTCACTTAGGGAGCTAGTCAGTCGTCGAGCCCGTTCAGGTGGGGCCGACAGTCGCGAAGCGAAGAGTGAGCAATTAATTAATGATCGCTGCTTGCTGCTCTTGCATCTCATTGAGGCGGCATGTTGGGCTGCCTCATGTGCAAGATGGCCCAAGGCGGTTGCATCCGCTGCAGACGCCTGGCCCTGGTCCAGGCAGCCGAGAACAGCCAGGCAGACCCAGCTCCGACACAGACAGGCACAACAGTCATGCCAGCGGCTCAGACGAAACCCTAGTTAATTAATCATAAACCCTGAACCCCAAAACCCTAAACCTTGAGCCCTTAAACCTCTGCCGCCGAGGCAGACAGTGTTCGTGAAGCCCCGTCCTTGAATGGGGGGCCTGAGACAGGCGGGCCCCCCATTCAGCTGGCGTTTGCTTCTGTTCCGGCCCTGAGACAGGCAGACCCAGTCAGCTTTTTTAAGCCAGGCAGCCAGACCGACAGGCCAGCCAGTCGTGCAGGCCTCCTTTTGTTTGGGCAGCCAGACAGACCAGACACAGTCAGCGACTGATTGATGCAGCAAAGACACGGGAGGGGGAGGGACATAAAACCCAACAACCCCCCCTTATATTAAAATTAGCTAACTGGCTCCAGCCTAAAGCTTAAAACCCCAAGCCTTAAACCTCGAGCCCCAAACCCTAAAGGCCTGAGCCCTAAACTTGAAGCCCTAAAGCCCTGAGCTCTAAAGCTTTAGCCCTGAGCCCTAAACCCTTAAACCCTAAAGCTTTGGTGTCTTTAGTACTGCTGTAATTAATTAATCTTTGGCTCTATAAAGCCCTGAGCCCTAAACTTTAAGCCCTAAAGCCCCAAGCCCTAAAGCTTTAGCCCTGGGCCCTAAACCCTTAAACCCTAAAGTTCTGCTGTCTTTAGTGCTACTGTAGTCTTGGTTCAATTAAAACACATACAGATCTGCCACCCCCCCTAATGTTGTCCCTTTTAAATTGAATGTGGGGCCCGAAACCGCGAAATTCCGGGGGCCGGGAGTTTTTATATTGGGGGGGTTGAATGTTAGGGGGAAGCGATTACAGCAACATCAGCAACATCAGCAACAACAACCACAACAGCAACACCAGCAATAACAGCCACAGCGACAGCCACAGCAACGGCCACAGCAACAGACGCTTCCACAACAACAGCCACAGCAACAGCAACAAGACAACTGCGGATTCAGCAAAACCGCCATCAACAACATGCTCATCCACAACAGAAACACCAGGAGCATGCCCATTTGGGATAACGACAGCATGTGCCTATCATGGCCACGAATTTGGTATTGGCCGATAGTGACAGTAGGCGTGGAGGTAGCCGTTTACTAGCAAATAACCCAGTAACATCATTGGTGTTCACAGTATTTGTATTGAGTATTCATGAGAATAACCACGATTCTAGTGGCAGCAACATTGAAATGTGGAGTGTGCGCAAGCCTTTTGGCTCGTGTGAGCTCCGTTATCCGACGCTGGTGCGATGGGCTGTAGTAGCGCCTTGGCCTGCACACAATACTTTGGCGTTCATGAGGAGTTCACGATGTCTACGCAGATCTTGAAACAGAGCTCCAAAGGGTGAAGTCCAAGTGCAACTTTAAACTTACCTTTGGTTAGTAGGGAATGGAGGAATGCGGTACAATTATAAGTACTGTTACTACCATTCTTCTATCCCCTACTAACCAAGGTAAATAAACCTCAGCTTTGAAGCTTCGAAGCAATCCTTTCCACACCGAGCTAAGTATGTCTTTGGGCCACAAAGCGCTAAATCCGAGATCCTGTCTTCCGGCTCCCCGGTTTAGGGTTTAGGGTTTAGGGTTTAGGGGCCTCAAATGGCCTTGCTATGCCTCGTATCAAGTTATCTTTCCTTGCAGGGTTGAGGGCTTGCGGCCTACATCGTCTTATGCGGCCCTGCATGCTGCAGCGGCGAGAATTTCATGTGTATGTCTACATACGAAGAGAAGTACATACACACACACACACACATATATATATATATACACATGTTAATTTTACTTATGTGTATATACCCACACATACGCTTAATTGCTTGTTTCTTCATTACACATACACAGATATGTATGTAAGCATGTATCCCGACTGCATGTCTATTCGAAGCACGGCATTTTCAATCATGTGTCTAAGTATTGAGGCTTGTATTGTTTGTATGGTAGACCTCACGACTTACAGTAGAAGCCCAAAAGTTGGAAACCCAATAGCCTCAATCCTTAAGATTAGGGTATAGGGAATCCCAGCATTATTTGGCCTTAATCCGGTTTCCAACTTCAGGGGATTACTATATTTACTATTGTGAGGGTTCCTTATTGTGATTATAGTATAATATACCCCCAAACCTTATTTTGATTTCTACAAAGGCCCCTAGATTCCACTGTAGAGGTAGCACCTTCTCCGGCGTGAGAGAGACCTATACGCCGGCTCCTACCCAGCCTCCGGAGGACTCCGGATCGGGCTCTGGGGCTGTGCAAATTTTATGGGATCTCTATAGGAGTTTCGGAAAATAGGGAACCCTAATATAGTACTCTCAATAGTAGGATTATTTGTATAAGGACCCCAAGATAAGTTATCCCTACTTTTCGGAAACCCCCCTATTGAAGCAGATCTGAGCATGAATAAACCCTTCGGAAAGCTTGCCACCCAGTCATTGTGCATCTTACCACAATCAAAAGACCTTTGAACCGTCATAGTCGCACTGCCTGCAAGCATCACAGAATCACGGCTGCCCTTCCGGATACCACTATTATCATGACGACGACGATGACTACTCCTACCAGTACTACTACTACTTCTTCTAGTATTACTACTACTACTACTACTACTACTACTACTACTACTACTACGACTACTACGACTACTGCTACTGCTACTGCTACTGCTACTGCTACTGCTACTGCTACTGCTACTGCTACTGCTACTGCTACTGCTACTGCTACTGCTACTGCTACGACTACTACTACGACGACGACTACTACTACTACTACTACTACGACTGCTACCTACTGCTAATACTGCTACTACTGCTACTACTACTACTACTACTCCTGCTGCAGCTCCTGTTCCTCGTGCTACACAGTTATGTTGGAGGCCGATTAACCCCGTTTGATGTCGCCAACATAAACGGAGCCCGTGAATTCCCTCCTCCTTTCCCCCGACCACCCCGTCCCAATCCCGGCTTAAACCAGAACCTAAGCTCCTCCCAGGAGGCAAGGGCGGAAGCGCACCAGGCCCGTGCAGATGCAAAGTCGGAGCCGAAGGAGGAGTGGGAGTTAGGTTCAAGGTTCAGGATAGTTTTTGATGAATCAGGATGTTTAGGGCCTTTGAGCCACCGAGTTTAACGCTTGCAGGGATGTAACCGAATGTCAGAAGATAAGATCTGGGGCTACCTATGGGTTGCTTGCGGATTCAACAGGCTTGCGGATTCAACAAGCTGACTGGCGTATATCTCACACACACACACATGTGCATACATATGTGTGTATATATATATATATACTTATTTTTACACACACGCAAACACTCACATATCTATCTATATATATATATACACACAAACATGCACACATACATACATATATGGGTATGTATGTATATGAGAATGTATGTATGTGTATATATGTGTGTGTTTGTTTGTATGCACGTATGTAAATGTACATGCGTTGACACACACACACACACATGCGCATATTGCGTGTTGAATTGTTGTAGGCCCCTTGGTGTCTGCCCTGAAACAGAACTTTCAGAACTTTCCTTGATTCGTTGAAACTTTGGCGGCGACATCTCTAGCCAAAGTGGACGGGCTTGGGAAGCGGATTCAGGATGTTTTTGTGTTACGTTTGATATGGGCGCAGGGTTGCGGGCTTGTGGTACCAGCCTACAAGCGTCGAAGTAGAAAGAAGAGCAATCAATGGCATATAGTTCTGCACAGAGTCTGTAATGCACCTCCCCCGAAGTTCCAGAGGGCCGCAACCCCCAGACTTTTTAAACCCTACAGTAAACCCTTAACCTTAAGACTTGAAACCTGAAACGCTGAAGACTAAAGGCAACGGGGTCGAGCTAAATATGTGATCAAGAAGCAGGCCACTGAGGTCTTTGGGCCGGAGTTTCGGGCAGATGGCCCTGCACTTCGGTGTGCTATCTAGTGTATACTTAGACCTCAAAGATACTTTAAGGCCTGAGTATACACTATGTACGTGGAGGTTCATGGGTAGGTATAAGCAGGGTAAACGTACTTTAAGGCCTGGGCATACACTATATAATTGGAGGTTCATGGGTAGCTATAGGTAGGGTTCTAAGCAGGGTAACTGTACTTATAACCATTTTTAGGAGACTTCTAACAACACTTATAACTACCCATGAACCTCCAAGTAGGCCCAAAACCCTATACCCTTATAGAATCTCCATAGATCCCTCTAAAGGGACCCTTAAAGGAACCCTCATAGCCACCCATGAACCTCCAAGTAGCTCCGTGCACCCGAAACCCCTCTCCGCGGACTTCAGGAGGCTTCTGTCCGCTTTGAGGAGAGGGAGGGATGGGTTTCACGAGGGAGGATGGGCTTCACCCAGAATCATGACCCAAAGGGTCCCAGGTAATGTTGTGGGGGATACCTCCCCAATTCATCATAGTAATTCTTAATATAGAAACCCTCCATGCTACTATGTAGGTACTTTGGACACTGTGGCTGATACATTGCTCTACGTTTATGTGGGGTGACGCAGCGTAGGGTTATACATGGGTTATACATCAGGGCGTCAACTCTCCGTAAACTGAAGTTGACATGTAATTAATTCCTTATTTCACCAAGGCTGTGTACAAATTTTGACACTTCGGCCCTAAACCCTGGACCACTAGTGTAAAGTGGGAGCCTTAAATCCTGCCTGCATTCCCGCAACCCTCACCCCCGAGGAGGTTTTGGACCGGTGGTCTCAACTGTTTTGGTCGAGCCCTGCTGAGTTAAAAGTTAGGGTTGTAGGGTCTAGGTTAGAAGGGGCTCCCACCCTGTAACAGTGACTTTAAGGAGTATATTAGGACCCTGTTAGATTCCTGTTATACTACTATAACAGGGTGGGGGCCCCTTCTAAGGTCTAGGATTATCATACAGGGTTTTGAAGTTAGGGTGTAGAGTTAAGGATTGTACGATTCGGGTATTGCTGTCCTAGGGACTTATGGCACAACAGATATTGACGACTGCTGCTTTCAACATCAGGGGGCATGTTTGAGTTCTTGCCGGGTATGGTGAGGAGGTGCTTGCGCTGATGAGGATGATGGTCATGGCAGATGTTGACAGAGTTAGGCAGCTCTGATAGGTCCGATGTTTCAGGCTATCGGGGATGTCCTGATCCTACGAGTTTGCCATACATGTCGTTGCACGGAGGAGCCTGCCGTCCTCAACAGGGACGATCCCAGCGCGGCCAATGTCAGCGCTGCTGGGCAGCGATTTGGGCTTCGGGTGGAGCGCAGTAGATACATGTACCAGTACTAATTGCAGCGGCAGCAGCAGCAGAAGGAGAAATAGTAGCAGTAGTACTTAGTAGCAGTAGTAGTTAGTAGCAGTACTACTACTACTACTACTACTACTACTACTACTACTACTACTACCACTACTACTACTACTACTACTACTACTACTACTACTACTACTACTACTACTACTACTACTACTACTACTACTCTTAGTACTACTACTACTACTACTACTACTACTACTACTACTACTACTACTACTACTACTACTACTACTCCTACTCCACTCCTACTCCTACTCCTACTCCTACTGCTACTGCTACTGCTACTGCTACTGCTACTACAACTACTTCTACTTCTACTACTATTTCTACTACTACTACTACTACTACTACTACTACCACTACCACTACTACTACTACTACTACTGCTACTACTATTACTACTACTACTACTACTACTACTACTACTACTACTACTACTACTACTACTACTACTACTACTACTACTACTACTACTACTACTACTAGTACTACTACTACTACTACTACTACTACTACTACTACTACTACTACTACTACTACTACTACTACTACTACTACTACTACTACTACTAGTACTACTACTAGTACTACTACTACTACTACTACTACTACCACCACCACCACCACCACCACCACCACCACCACGACTACTACTACTACTACTACTACTACTACTACTACTACTGCTATAGCTACTATTATTACCACGACGACGACGACCAGACGTAGACCGGGCCGCAGTCCTCAGGCAAGCAGGGAGCCTGGGGGCTCTTGAGCCCGAAGCCCTAAACGCTAAACCCCAGCCCAAGCCCTAAAATCCGAAACCCTAAACCTTAAACCGTAATTAAACCCTAAACCCCTAAAACCCTAAACCCCAAACCCCGAAAATCCCGCGTTGCCCCGCCGACCTCAACTTCATAAGGACCCTTAGGGGATGATAGTACCCTTATAGCTAGATGGTTGGGGGGAGGGGGGTAGGAGACCATACTTTCTTAAAAATAGGCCTTACTAAGTCCTTAGTACAGGTATTAAAGCTCCCTACCCCCTCCCCCCTACTTTTAGGGCTATTATACGGATTTAGCATAGGGCCTTAGTAGATAGATAGAATAGGGTTTGTTGGTGGGTTCCATAGTATAGTTGTGGTATAATATATCCCAAACGCTATTCCAATTATTAAAGTCCCTGCAGTACCCTGAACCCTCAAGTGCGAACCCCCGAATCCCCAAAGCGTAAAATCTAAGCCCTAAACCCTTGTCCCAATCTTCCACCCTGAACCCGAGAAAGCGAAGACCCCCAAACAGAACAGACCAAAGCCCTAAACCCTAAACCCTTAAACCAGCCCGAAGAGGGGGCTTTGTAGGCCAGTGATGCGGGCAGGCACCACTGTTGAAGTCGGAGGATGTCGAGAGAGCCGAGGCCGATGAGGCCGCTCATCATCACCATCATTACACCAATCGCAACATGAGAAAGCTCATCATCATTGCCATCATCGTCATCACCAACATCAGTGTTGTTATTTCGCTTTGATACTATAGTACCGAGTACTAGTACCTAGCAAGCCTCTGCACCCGGAAGACCGAACTCATGACATCATCCACGAAGCGTTGTAACGTTTCATTCTTCAAGGTGGAATCCGTGGAACCTCGTATGCGTTCTCCTCGCAGCCTCAACTGCAGATGTAAGGAACACCAACTTCCAACCTTATTGGATAAAGCGCACTGCTCAGGAACTCTTTCAGGGCCACGGCATTCACAGTGGACACGCATGGACATACGGGAATTTCTCCGGATCTCAGAAAAGCGCCTAAACATCAGGATCCATGCTTGTGAGATACGAGGGGCCCCTATGTAAAGGATTTTCCAGAAGAGTCTGATTATGGGATCCTGTGATTGGGTGGTCGTTTAGGTTTAGATCATCTATGTATACTGCAGCAGGACGACAGTTCGCATGCTGCTGTGGAGCACCTTGCAAAACCCCTTCCCCCAAAGACTCCTACACCCACTCCTCCACCCAGTCCTCTGTACGGCAAATTATAGTAGCATAGTCTCATTTCCGTGGATTAATTCCTCCGCAAGCCAGGTCACGTAGAACACACTTCTCGGTACTCCGCGTCCTCCGCGTGATTGTGTAGGCAAGCGCGGCGCAAGCTAAATCCTGCCGACGCATCCTGTCAACACATGCATAGTATGATATATCTCCGTATTATGCATATGTATATATATATATACACATGATTACATCAGTTATATATGTATATATTATATATACATATAACGTATAGATAACAGATATACATAGATGATAGAATGTCCCACGTCTCCAGGCACCTCAGAAAGAGGAGAAGCCGATGCCATGGGCACGATTTGCAGGGCTTTGGGCGTCCACGCTGCAGAAGAGGGTTTCAGCGAGAGGCCTTTGAATAAGCATACTTCTATCTGCAGAAGAATGGTTGCTGATGGCGAAGATAGTAGTGGCGATGCCGATGGTGATGGCAGCGAGGACGATGGTGACAGTACGGATGACAGTGATACTGCTTATGAGCAGTCGAGTGCGGTTGTTTCACTGTTGCCCTTAATGTTCCATGCCGTTCAAAAATGGCCAAACCGTACCCATGAGAAGAATGACCGCAATGCGACGGCAGGCAGCAAATACATACATGCATACATACATGCTTACACCCATGCATGCAGGCATACACATATACGCACACGCGTACACACACACACACATGTACAATCATATGTAATATATATATATATATATATATACATACATATCTTCATTTGTACGTGATGTGCATAGGTGTGTGTGTGTGTGTGTATCCATTTCTGCGTGTGCACGTGTGTGTGTGTGCAGTTTGATACACCAATCCATCCATCCATCCATCCATCCACCCCTGCACGCATGCATGCATGTATACATGTACATATGTCGTCCACGCAGGCCGTCTTTACGGATTAGTGTTAGGTTGGTTGGTCAAACATACCAATGCATCTCAGATTTGCTGCAGCTTGGCCGCTGGCGTACTCCCTGGGCAGTCCCTCTTCGCGTGCCTGGGCGTGCGTTTTCCTTCGGCGTGACCTCGCAAGGACTTTTGGGGGCCTGATTAATTACCAATAGTGTCGTGGGGGGTTCTTTATTATAAGTATAGTATAGTCAACCCAAAACCTTACTCTGATTATTAAGGCCCCTACAAAAAGAGTATTCCGCAAGACAAGAGCGAGAAAAAGGCGTCCTGCTACAGTTGCCCTTGCCCCTTTCATCAAGGTTCAGGGCCTTACGGTTTAGGGTATTGGGTGAGTGTGTGTGTGTGTGTTTGTAAATTGCACCCTCGTTGGGAGGGGGCAGAGGTGGGGGGGGGGGTTCGAGTGGCGAAAGGTCGACCCACACAAAAGCAGAGTTTGTACATTGTAAGTGTACAGTTTCCAAGACACTTTAACAACATTTAATATTTAATATCGCGGCCTGAATGATTAGTATCAGTATGCTATAGGCTTCCTGATTATTATGACTATAACTACAGTTTAACATGATTGTCCAAAAGGCATTGTTGTATTGGCCCTTTTGTTGTTTCTCAGTTCCTTGACCTTTCCAAATGAATAAACTGTAGTAGAGGGTAGTTGCAGGGTCTAGTTGAACCCTAAAATCGTGGGTGAGCCTGACGTGAACGCCTGAGCCGACTGTGCCCTCAACCCCAAAGCCAGCAGAAGAACCGGGCGATTCACTTTCTCGGCTATGCCCTGAGAATGCAAAACCTAGCATCTCACAGTTGGGACCCTCTAAACAAACAGCCTCGAAACCGGCATACAGGTAGTTCTCTCAATTAGGGTCGTTTATCGGGTGCCGTACGATTGTGGGGACTTAAGAAGGGACCCTAATGCAGAACTACCCATATGTTTGCTGTCTTGTGACGTGGTCCTGTTGTTACGGTAGATCTGATGCACACAGGCCCCGAACCCGTAAAACTCAAACCCAAACCTTCTAAGCCCAAAAACCCCTGAAGCCCCTCAGGAACGGGTTTCTAAAGTCACTATGGCCTGCCCCAAGCGGGTACTAGGGATTTTTGAAAAGGTACCTCGGCCGTGGCCTCTACCTGTTAACTTCAGCCCACGAACCCTTTAGCTCGTGACTGCTCCGAATCATGCGTCCGTAACCCTTAGCCATGGATCCTCAAGTCAGGGGCAATTAACATCGTTCCTCGGTGTACCTTGCTATGCTTAATGAAAAAACGCATGTTCATGCTGCAATATGCCCCAAAATCCGATTCCAATTATTGAGGCCTCTAATTATGTTGCGGGAGTCTCGGGCTTCTCATACCTCAGCTCCAGACGACTCTATCCCAGGGAGATGTTTGCGAATGCCGGCGTCTACAGCTCCAGCTGCGAGGAAAGTTTTGTCCGGATTCCAAAATCGTGCTCCATGTTTGCGGGTTCCAACCCCCCCCCACCCCTTGCCCCCGTGTCGTACGCACAGACACCCTGGCAACAGACCCGACGAGAAGGATCAACTAGTCTACTGCCCTTGCAGAAAAGCTCCTTTAGCTTCGTAGACTGCGAGACTTGACCTATGATCCGGGTAACATAGTCCGAAGCCTAAGCCCTAAGCACCTCATGATTAGGGGGTCCTCCCTCTAGCCTTCAGTAGGGTTCAGGACGTATAAGACTCCTTAGAATTAGGATGTAAGATAGATCTTCAAGGGTAGGTAGAGGGTCTAGGTGCGAGTTTATCGTCATTGCGATTTATTATAGCAAGGGAAGTAGATGATCAGGTACATGGACCCTTGGCGATGTGTAAAGCATTGCCCCCTCGCTACTCCCACAGGTTTTCAGGCCTCGAAATTTCTGCACCAGGAACCTCGAATCCCCAATCCCAAATCTGCATGAAAACAAACCATGAATCCCTTGTAGTAACGCTTCCTTCATTGTAGCCCGTAAAGCAACCCTGAGAGCAAAGGCCCTCTTTCAAACCTCTAAGGCTGCAAGGTTCAGCGTTTGGTAAAGTTTGGAGTGTGGGTTTAGAGTCTAGGGTTCGGGGTCTATGGTTCAGGGCTTTTAAGCTGTAACGTTTAGAGTTTAGTGTTTTGAGTTGCGGGTCTAGAGTTCAGGGTTTATGGTTTAGGGCTGTAGGGTTCATGAACAAAAAACCTCAGCACCAAAACGGGCGCGAGGCCTGGCCTTAGCCTTAGGGTTTAGGGTTTGGGGCCTAGGGCCTACCTTAATCCTGAATAAGCTACCTCTTTAAGGACATGTATAACTGGTATAAGGAAATCATAATAAGGAACCCTAAGACGGTAGGTTAGTGCAGGGAAAAGGTAGGGCCCAGCAGGATGGAAAGCCTGGCTGTACCGATCAGTTCCTCGTGCTGACATCCATCTTCGGCGTCGGGCAAAGCAGCTAGATCATGTCTTGTTGCGGAGGCATGACAGATTCTGGATTCTTAGGACCCAAAGGCTTGGGGCTTGCGAGTGATGCCACGCTGGCTTTGCAGCTTCGGGGATTTCAAGTTGTGAGGTTGAAAACTGCGACCGGGCTTGAGGCGCACAGTATCCTTGCGCGTGCTTCTTTGACGGTTTGAAGTTGGGGTGTCGTTCAGTAGATGTGTATGTTGGGAGTTTGGTTTTGCAGCGTTCTCGGGCGGGCTTGCACGCGGACATCCGAAATTCAATCGACCTATCAACCGGTTATCTCCCTTCCCCCTAATACACCACCGGGCCGCAAGTTTCGACATGCAGCTTATAACATACATGTCTGTCGCGGAGAGGCGGAGAGCCCCAAGACCCACTTTACGTGGCCAGCGTGCTTTCCGGGAATAAATTTATACTATTATATAGTTTCCGGTGGAGAGCTTTACGGGGTTGTGCTAGGATTCTACGGGGGAAAAGGGGTGAACATGTGGTGATCTCTCAACTTCAGGTTGTATGGCGAACTTTCGTCCTGCGGTATGCTTTAGTTCTTGCTCTTATTCCTGCTCTTGCTCTTGCTCTTGCTCCTGCCTTGTTGTTGCTCCTGCTCTTGTTCTTGCCCCTGCTCTTGCTGTCGCTCCTGCTCATGCTCGTACTCCTGCTCTTGCTCTTCTTTTTGCTGTTGCTCTTACTGCTGCTTTTGCTCTGGCTCTGCACCCCCTAATGATGCAAATTAGGTTCTAAAGTTCTTTTAAGTTCAAGGGGCAGGGTGGATTTCGGGAGGATTGGCCCCCGATTGTTTGTTCTTACTAGGGGCGGGGTGTTGAGCAAATTTGGGAAGCGATTATGGAGGTTCTTGTCCCATAGCAACACTTACGATTTCCGGCAAGCGTCATACAACAGGTGCAGTCAAATGGAACCTATGGCCCAAAACAGCCCCTCTGGAGTTTGAGCCTGAGTCTCCGGTCATATTAGGTCCTTTGTTCAGGATCCCTACGTGTCTTTGAGGACTACATTCTTTGCAGTCCATGACCATCTTAAAGCATCGCTACTATATGTAGCTAGAGGACCACTGATTGTTTAGGGCTTAGGGTTCGGGGATCTTGTTTTGGAGGATCCCTAGCCAGATCTCCTGCGGGCCATGTTTAGCCTTTTTTATGGTCTTAGATTCCTTATATAGACTACCACAACCTGAAAAAGGGAGCCCTTTATTTCCTAGGTTGCTAGGGTTTTGGGGTTTAGCGTTCACAGGGGTTTAGGGTTTAGGGTTGGGGATCCTAGTTATCGATGAGAGAATCTTACGCTCAGGGTCCATGTACCCGAATAGTATATACTTTGTCCCCAAAGTACCTATCTAGGGACTTTTTCAGGCCAATGTATGTACCATTTAGGGTACATCGACCGTTAAGAGGATGGAAGAACCATGGAACTAAGGCATTGCCTACGGCTTCTCCGCACCCATTGGCTTGCTTTACGACCGATGGGGTGCGATGATCACCGGCACCGCACGGGCCTTTGTCGGGCAAGGGTGTACCCTGAGGGTCCATGTGGGAGTTTCCGAAAATTAGGGCACCTTTTTTGGGGGGGTCCTTATAATAAGGATCCTACCATTTAGGGCACTAGATTAGGGTCCCCTATTTTCAGAAACCCCCATGTACTAGGCCCATGTACCTTCTCTGGTATATGCATGGGCCTTAAAGTAGTCCCCATATTTGTGGGACTTCAGAGCCAGAGAATACAGGGCATGGGTTTACATGGACCCTCAGGGTGTGGCTTGTTCAGGCTTTGGGGTTTGCGGTTAATCAAAGGGGAAAAGGAGGGACCCTAAATGGGGACCCCTACCCTATAATGGGCTATTTAATAGGTATATAATGGCTATATTAAGGGTATATTACCTAGGGGTCCTTATTGAGGGTCCCTCCTGTTCCGCTTGGAGTTATGTCCATCCCCCGACTCTTAAAGCCAAGACCGGAATCCGCACAGTTTCTATCCCGGCAGCCGCGCCAATTCCTGCAGAGCCTACACCGCCGACCCCCACGAAAATAACAGGCCCTAGACCCTAAACCCCTAAACCCCTATAAACCCTAAACTCTAAACCCTAAACCCCTAAATCCTAAACTCTAAACCCTAAACCCCTAAATCCTGAACTCTAAACTCTAACCCCTATAAACCCTATAAGCCCTAAACCCAAGACTGATGAGGGCTTAGGGAAGGAGATCAGGCCTGAGGTCTGTGATGATTTACCTAGATTCTCCTTACCCTAAGGGTCCATGTGCCTAAATAGTATATACATTGGCCCTAAAGTAGTCCCTATATAGGTACTTTGGGCCCAAAGTATATACTATTTGGGTACATGGACCCTTAGGGTTAGGGGGGGTTCTTGAATACAACCATACCTATAGTCTCCATTGTAGTTTCTTCTTTTGGTTAACCAGTTTTAGGGTTAGTAGGATCCTATAATCGAGTTTTTTTTTAACTGAAAAAGGATCTAGAATAGAGACTATAGGTACCCTTTGCTTCCAAGGACCTTCGGGTCTTCTAGTTAGGGCCCTAATAACAAGGTCCCTGGAAGCATTGGGATAGGGTTCTTCTACCCCTAGACCCCATGCTAGTTGTGAAGGTGTTTGTATGGGAGCTTCCGACAATGGGGGACCCTAACATAGTACCTAAATAGTAGGATCCTTATTGCAAGGACCCCAAAATAAGGAACCCCCCCCCCCCCAATTTTCGGAAACTTCCATATTGCAGTTCATCACCGGTCACAGACTAAGCAGTCGCAGTCTGTGTTCCTGAAGTCCGTAACCCAGCCTTTCCGATCTTGGTTCGTGATGGTCCATGTGCCCATACCGTAAGTATATATTCAGAACTTAAAGTAGTCCTTATACAGACACATGAGTAGTTGTCAGCATTATGGTCCCTTTTTGGGCACCCTAAATAATAGGTGCCGTACTATAATAGGGACCCAAAAAGGGACCCTAATTTTGACAACCACCCACATGATAGCCAATGTATGCACCATATCGGTACGTGAACCCTTGGGGTTGAAACCCCGAAGAAACTGAGGACGTAAACTTAGCAAGCCTAAACTTAGAGCTCCGAACTTTGGCCCGAAGGTACCTATATCGGCACTACTTTAACCCTATGCCTCCAGGGACCTTCTTATGGGGTCCTTGAGGGGTCTAGGGCCCTAACTATGGGGTCCTTGGATAGATAGGGTAAGGCCGTAGAAACTATATGGGTACGTGGGCCCTTAGAGTCACTGCCGCACTTGGACGGTCAGGAGTTAGGCGCAATTTGGCCCATCTCTTGACGACACAGGTGGGGGCGCTGATTTGTGCAGTTGGCATGCTGCTGGTGTCCGGAGACTTGGCATCCGTCTTTAGAAGAACCCAAACCCTACGGTTTTGAAAATACATCTCTATTCAAGGGTGAAATCGATCCCTAGGTGCTTGCATGCCTGGTGGGATACTTTGCCCTGAGCCTATACCCCAAACCTTAAGCACCCGAACTCTTAACTGGCAGGCCTGAACCCGATACCAAAAGCCTAACCGTAAACGCAATATCGGGCTTAGGCTACGGGCTTTCTCGCACTTATGGATTCGTTGGGCTGGCTTGCAACAGCCTCCGAAGGGCGTTGCTCAATGAGACTGCACTAGTGATGCAGCATTACCGCGAGCGCATGAAGAAGAAGTAGTACAAGTATTAGTTAGCAGCAGGGTTAGGAGGTGTAGTGGTTGTGCCCATGGTTTTGGTAGCAGCAGTAGCAGCCGCCGTCGCCGTTGCAGTTGCAGTCGCAGCAGCGGCGGTGGCAGCGGCAGCGGGAGCGGGAGTGGTGGCAGTAGCAGCCGTAATGAAAATCGAGCTTCACTTAACCCCGACATACATGCTTTGTACGTCGAGTCAACATTTTTTCGGGCTGCTTGTCGTTGAAAACAAGCCTCTTAATCTCATTCCTACCGCAAGCTCGCAACAGGATGGCCCAGTACTAGGATGCCCAGTAGTACCCCTATTCCCTTTTGTAGTCCTAGGTTCCTTATAAACTTATAAAGTTACCCAATACCAAAAAAGGAGCCCTTTTTATTCCTAGGTTACTGGGCATCCTAGAGTACCATCTTTGCAACACTACCAAAAGCCTATACCCTAAACCTCAAACCATAAACCCTAAACCCTAATCCCATTGCACTTAAAAAAACCTTAATCCTGAACCATAAACCCTTAACCCCAAACCCTCAACCCCAAGCATAAACCCTAAACCCTGAAACAGCAAGGCACAAAAGCCTGCAGCCCTGAACTCAACCTCGAGGGTTTGGTGCGTATTCTGTCAGGGTTCAAGACTCTAGGGGCAAGGGCTCTACCTGGAGGTTCATGGGTAGTTAATTTAAGGGTCCCGTTAAACGGATCAAGGGATCTATAGGGATTCTATAAGGGTATAGGGTTTAGGGTTCTACCTGGAGGTTCATGGATAGCTATGAGTGGGGTTACAAGTCCCCCTAATATGGGTTATAAGTAAAGTTTCCCCACTTACAACCCTACTTATAACTACCCTAAACCCTAATCCCTAAACCCTATAAACCTACAGATCCCTTTATAGGAACCCTACTTATAACTACCCATGAACCTCCAAGTAAAAACCTGGAAACCCCTTAGCCTGGGAGCAGCTGAGGATCTGTCATGGGTGCTGCGGCAGGGTATGCAACTTCGGCTGCATTCATTCAGTTTGGGGCTTAGGACTTAGGGGTGTTAGGTTTAGGGGTGGGTGGGTGGGGGATTAGCGTTGTGAGCTTTGCGGTTTGGGGTTCGGAGGTCTATGTTGCTGGCTTTAAGTTTGGGGGATCTAATGTAGAGGTCTAAATAGTGAGGAATACCATCCACCTTGTAAGGTTCCGTTTTCTGTTCGGACTCCTAGAGTCACGGCTTTGCTTGCCAAGATCCCGCGAGGGTTTAGGCTCCAAAACCTCAGGCTAAGGTTGCCAGGTCGGTTCTCCTAAGAGCTTTGGCAGCTTGTGGGGTGGCTCTCTGTGGTAGTCAATTTCCCCCAGAAGGTAGTAGGCTACTCTGTATTTCGGATACATATACATATATATAGATATATATATATATATATATATATATATGTTTCATATTATAAAACACATGGCTGTCCTGCCTATGTTTGTATGTATACAAACCCATCTTTGAGTATGTTGTTTACTGTTATGTATATATGTATATCCAGGTATGCATAAATTGTTTATTGTTGTGGTGTTCAGGACTAATGGTGTATGCTAAGAGGTTCAGGGCTTAGGGCGTGTGTGTGTGTGTGTCTCTGTGTGTCTCTGTGTGTGTGTGTGTGTGTGTGTGTGTGTGTCTGTGGGTGTGTCTGTCTGTGTGTGTGTGTGTGTGTGTGTGTGTGTGTGTCTGTGTCTGTGTGTGTGTGTTGATAAGTGTGCATGCATGTATGCACATATATGTGTATAATTACATATGTATACACATATTATACGCATGTAGAGAGAGAGAGAGAGAGAGAAGCAGGTAGGTAGATCGATAGACTGATACTTGCATATGTATGTTTCAAAGCACGTTATAGCACCGCATGCTGTAGCGATGTCTTTTTCGCATAGTCTAATAGTCGCTACAGAACTCGAAGAGGCAGCAATTCACATCGAACGTTTTTGAGTCAGTGATCAAACTCTACCGATACCAATTTAAGAACATATCTAAGAAGCGTATATTGAGACACCCCCCCAAAAAACAAAAGAAACAAAAACACAAAGCACAAAAAATAGGTTTTGTGGGCTGCAGGTGTGACTTCCAATTCTGCAGTTGAAAAATGCTTGCAGTAACAGAACCTGTCTGTTTGGACCTTCAATCATACTGAGGTCCCCTCGGTAGCTTCAAGCTACCTCCGTAACTATGGGATAGCATTATTACATGTCTCTCTCTCATTGTGGCATTCCATCAAACTCTCAGGCAATGAAACCCTGTAAAGGCTGCGAGCCTTTCTGCCCGATCCAAACCTTCCCAATGTCAGGATTCTACGACATCCTACCTTTTCTTGGTCGGCACCCTCACATGCGACTTCGGATCGCTTCTGACTCTTTGCCAGCTACGGTTGAAAGCATCAGGGTAACAAACCCTAAGGGTCCATGTACTCATATAGCATATACATTGGCCTTAAGGTAGTCCCTGTAAAGGTACTTTGGGGCTCATGTATCTCTATATGGATACATGGACCCTTAGGGAAATTTCAACCCTGAAGCCTGTCAGCGCCCTGAAGTTCGCCTTGGTTGCTTTCCGCAACCACGCAGATACACAAGTTGCCAGGGCGCTAGAACCTAAACCCTCGGCCCTAATCCTGAACCGACAATACTGTTGATGATATAAATCCTGCATTACCCACAATCAGGAATATACCATAATTTCTATAGTCTAGGGTCCTTAAGGTAATGCAGGTTTTATATCATCAACCGTAGTAGACTGACCGCTGAGACTCGTTACCCGCAATCCCTGGTCTCGGACCCGCTTCTGTGGAAAATGTTCAATGACTACGCTCTCCGAAGTGCAGGTACCGATGTCGGGGGTTTGTTAGGCAATGGCTACGTGGGAGTTTCCGAAAATGAAGGGTACCTTATTTTGGGAACCTTGTAATAAGGGTCCTACTATTTAGGGTACTATATTAGGGTCCCCTATTTTGGGAAACTCCCATGTAGGGTCATAAGAAGTGCCCAAAGGCAGTAAACCACTATGCAGACAACTGACGCTGAGGGACTCGGGTGATTTTGGATGTGTTTGGAGTATCTAGGAAGTTTCATTTTCTCTATCGCTAATTGATTTGATGGTACTATATTCCGTTCTATCATATAAAGTTCCCTTTTTAGGGTTTAGGTTCCCTTATAACCCCCTTTAAACCAAAAAGGGCACCCTTTTTATTCCTAGGTTAGTCTTAGGTCTAGAAGTCATAAGGTCTTATATTATGTATGTTAGATGGCTACAGCAACCCAGAGTTCGACATGATCGGAAAATCCCAAACTCTCGGACCAGCAGCAACAATGTAAAGCCTTGGCATGTCACGAATTGAAGTTAGGATACTAGCGGCAGGAACCTGGTATATATGATCACAAAAACTCAGCGGAATATTTGGCTATCAGAATTCTCTCTGCCTCCCTGTTCCCTCCCCCGCGATGCCTGAGCTGACCATGTACCGGAGCCCCAGACCCGAACGATGTAAAACGGAACCCGGGAAGCAATCAACCCTTAAAGGGAATGATGCATCGGGCTGCATTTTGTGCGGTTTATTTAGAGTTCAGGCCCTGGGGCTTTGCGTTGGGGTGAATTGCAGGTGGCAGGGTTTCCTCTTAGGGGTGGCGGCTTAAGATGGTCTGCGGTGTAAACAGCTGTACCGAGCCTCTGGACGGTATTCAAGCCCACAGCCGTCCTATCTATCAAGCCTCGCGCAGCACCACCGACCCTAAACCCAAAACTCTAAATCCTAAACCCTATCCTAAACCCCGATACCACTAAACCCTTAAACCCGAAACCCTAAACCCAGGAACAGTTTTTCCTTCATGGGCCTGATCTGGCACTTTCCTGGCAAACAGACGAGAGCACCCAGACGGCACCGACAGATTCGGTGTGAGCCGGTGTGAGCTTTCCCTAAGGGTCCATGTACCCATATGCTATATACATTGGCCTTAATGTAGTCCCTATATAGGTACTTTGGGGCTCATGTATCTCTATATGAGTGCATGGACCCTTAGGGTTTGGGCCTTTGGTATAGTAGCACATTACACTACCCAGGGTTTTTGGTGGTTGAGGCTTCTTAGCCATTTTGGCACATTGCACTACCCAAGGATTTTAGGGGCTTTGTGCTTTGCTGTACCTAGGTTAAGATGTAGCATCCGAGCTCCCTTCTGTACTGTTCTGCCCCTTGCACAAGTGCTTCCTCGAGCTGGAATGGATCTTTCCCAGCCCCTTCATGCCACGAACATTCCTAAAATCTTAAGTTTAAGGATTCCTTAATCCAAGTTTAAGGACTCCTTAATCCAAGTTTAAGGATTCCTTAATCCAAGTTTAAGGATTCCTTAATCCTAGCCCCAGCTAAAGCCCTAAACCTGAAACCCATACATCTACGCGCTGAAGCTGCGAGCTGTCCGGTTGCAGATTCAGAGCTTGGGACGATGCTCCAGTGCCTTTCTGCGGCTCAGGGAGTTTGCCGGGCCGGGTTTTAGGTTTTGGGGCTTTTGGAGGTTTTAGGGTTTAGGGTTTAGGGTTTAGGGTTTTCTGTAACGAGTTTATGGAGTTTCTAGAGGGCTGTAACGGAGCTTCATGAGGATCTAAGGGTCCTTTTAGCCACATATGAAATGTAGGTTGGAGCCTTTTGGGTATTTAGGGTGGGGCTTAGACCGGGTGCAATTCAGCAATGCCCTTGCCGTTGCCCTTGCCGTTGCGATATCTCTGCCCTGATGGCTTTTGGGTCTAGCTATATAGTATAGGGGCCTTAGAATCAGTTACCAATACTATATGGGGTGCCTGAATATAAGTAGAGTATCATGGGCCCAAAAACCTTATCCTAGTTATTAAGGCCCCTATACTACGGAGAGCATGAGGCTCTCTTAAGTGGGGGGTCCATGTTTCGAGCTTGGGAGTGCAGATCATTTCGGCAAGGCGTAAGCGAGTTATGCATGTTTCGACGTGTTTGGGATGGTTGAGCTACCGGATGGTCACGCCCGTTCCCTTTCAATGGACCTCAGGTCATTGCGCTCATCAATGCCACTTACCAGGCGTCGGCGATGCTGCCGAATCTGGGCAGCCTGATCCCTAAGGCTCCAAGGACTCAGATTCTCAGGTTTGTGGGCCAGGAGTAAAGGTTTGGAAGAATGGCAATGTCGGAGCGGCATCGGAATTCAAAGCACTACCCTGGACACTCACCAGACTTGTCATCACAGACCTAAACTCCGACATGCAACGACGAAGCCTCAAATAGGCCCTTAACCCCGAATTTGAGAGCCGAGACCCCGAATCGCTGAACCTTAGCGCAACCCTCGTCAACACCTGCAACCCTAAACCCTGAACCTCGTATCTCCCAAACCCCTTACTTGGAGGGTCTTTAGGGGACTTAGTAACTGGTGATTTTAGGGACTTATAAGTACCATAACCCCAATTAGGGTCCTTTTTAGGGTACTTATAAGTCTACTTACTACCTACTTACTAAGTCCCCCGACCCTCCAAGTAAGCCCCCAAACCCCTCTGCCCAACCTATCCAATAGCATCGACGTTTTAAGGTTGAGAGTTTAATTGTTTGAGGAATCCTCTTTTCTTGGCCCCATCTCAAAGCCCAAACCTCCAAACCCTAAAGCCTAAGCCCTAAGCCTTAACTTAAACTCTAAGCCCCAAGGTTTCTGATAGAAGCCCCAAACCTAGACCCTAAACTCCAAGGATTGTTACAGAAGCCCTAAACCTAAACCCCAAGGATTCTGATAGAAGCTGGTATGCGGAACTATGATCTCTCCCTCTCTTCGATCATGCGAGCCGGCTGAAATTAAAGGTTTAGGGGTTAGGGGCTTCGGGTTTAGGGTTGACGGGGTTTAGGGGTGTAGGGTTTTAGGGTTGATGCGGTTTAGGGTTTAAGGCCCTAGGTTTCAGGGGTTTAAGGGTTTAGGCTTTTTAAGGGTTTAGGGTTTGGGGTTTAGGCTTTAGCAAAGGCAGGTTATGTAGTTGTAAGGTTGAGGGCTTTGGGTTTAGGGTTTACTAGAGCTCAGGGTTTAGCAGGGTTTCATAGTGTTTACTGGGATTTGGGGTTCAGGGTTTAGTAGGGTTTAGACTTTAACAGGGTTTCATGTGTTTAAGTAACAGAAGGGTTGTCACAGTGAGAAATGTATTCGGGCCTGAGGATCTAGGATTACAGTGTCGAGGGCCATTATGCTTCGAACATACTCGTTGGAGTCTTGTTGGAAGAGCTCGGCGCTTCCCAACAACATGCATGTATGTACGTACGCATGTGTGCATGGATGGAAGGACAGACGGCTGTATACATGCATGCGTTTGTGCATTAAGTGTGGCAGCCTTCACTTCAACTCTGTCAGTACATATCCAGGCAAGTTTCGAGCGGGCGACGGTATGAGACAGCTCAAACATCGCACCGATAAACCAACCGCACCGACACACTTGACAGGGTATCGACAACACCAATAAAGCCACCACATTCAATAGAACTGAATGAGTAAACATTAATGTACTACTGCACACGATCCGACACATACTAAGAACGCACTGTGTGAGCTCGCATGCGATCAGAATAATGTAGGAACCTGATTAAGAAACCCTGGGCCTATAACCTCAAAATAGTAGGGTTCATACAAGGAGCCCGAATGGAGGCCAAAGGTTTCTTAATCAGGTACCTACATTGCGCGTTCCGGCTGTGTAGAGTAAGTGCAAGAAAGCAGGAGCAAAGATCCTCACGAGCTTAAGGTACGGAGAAGTACGTGATCACGTCTGTACCTTTCGCTACTCTATATGCATGGACGAGTGTATTAAGCAGGTATAGATCATGCATGCACAAAGCCTGTATACGTGCATGCAGGCCTTTAAACAGACAAGTATATATACAAGTGTGTGTGCATATATATATGTGTATATTTATGTATATCTGTCTATCGGATATCGGTGGTTGAATGTGTGCAAAACCATCATGCAGCATGTCTTGAGTAAGTGCCTGAGCTTTCGGCTAATTGTTCTTCTTATGAGCTTCCGCATAGCGCAAGGTACAGGAATCCCGCAACCGCCAGCAGGGATAGCTGTCACCAGCATCGTCATCTGCGCCTCAACACCATCAGTTTGCTCGTTTGCATCAGGACTTTTTAACTATGTTGTTGTTGAGTTGTTGTTGTCATTTCATACTCATGTATCATCGTCATCGCCGGCGGCGTTTGAATCCTCAGCGCCGCCAGGGTCATGCTAACCATCAGCACGGCCACCATTAAATTGTCCTCGTTGTCCTTGTGACGCCGTCTGCTTCACCTCCAACATCAACGGCGCAACAGCCTGTTGAAGCGAAATCTCGGCCTCAGCAAGAATCTGGAATGAAGGCTAAATCCATAAGCCCTGGACCTTAACAAGACGTCGTGTCATCTCAATCAGACAATGGGGATCCGTCAGCAAAGCCGAGCTCAATGCTTCACATGCACTTCCTTTGGATGGCTCCCTGACTAAAGGGAACTCAAGAAAGTTGGAATATGGTTTCAGGGTAGGATACCTTGTAATTTACCATAAAAGGTTTAGGATAATCATATTCCAACTTTCTGGCTTTTACTTTACTACGCCTTTCACCATTACTATTCCTCAGTATTCCTGCATACGAACATACGAGAGAAGACCCCGAAACCCGAGTCTAATTGTTCAGGCCGATACCTTACCCTAAGGGTACATGTACCCAAACACTATATACTTTGGCCCCTAAGTAGTCCCTAAATAGGTACTTCGGGGCCAAAGTGTATACTATTTGGGTACATAAGGACCCTTGGGGTTAGTTTAGCAGGCTTGGCTGGACATGCAGTAATCATGTTAGCTGCCGATTCCCAGCTGATGATGGCATAGAGCCTGGGTTCAAAAAGGTTTGGCTGGACTGTGATCACCTTGAACCCTTTTACCCCTAAACCTTTGTAGAACCCCTATAGACCCTTTACAGGATCACTTATGGTACCCTGAAAGGAAACCCAGTGCAGGCTTGGCTGGACTGTGGTCACCTTCGTCACCGTGTACTTCTGCTGGGTGCTCATTCCTTCTCAGGCCGGGTCCGAAGAGGGAGGCATGCTTCCTTGGAGGTTCCTTTAATAAAGGGATCTATAGGGATTCGATATAAGGGTTTACGGCTTTAGGGCCTACTTGGAGGTTCATGGGTAGTTGTAAGTAGGGTTAGAAGTAAGGCAGCTATACTTATGACCCAGATTAGGGGACTTATAACCCCACTTATGACTACCCATGGACCTCCAAGTCCTACGTCGTATGAGGAAGACCCCTGAAAGGGGACCCTTCCCAACCCTACTTCTGGTTCTGTTAAAAGAGACCTTATTGAGAGGGTCCATATCCCCAAAGGGTCTCCAGCATCCGCGTATGACATCCCGGTAGTCGACGAGTATAGGATGATATGGGGATCGGAGTGATGATGATGATTATTATTGTTATGTCTTTTATTACTTGTATATATTGTTATTGTTTAGTATTATTGCTAGTGTTGTTTGTTTTGTTATTCGATGTATTGCATTTTTTAGTCTTATTATTGCTGGTTTCTCCTTGGAGTGCTTAAACTAGTAACTAAGCTTTCCCAAAAGCTCAGGCTCTTATTCTCAAGACCCAATATAGTATGAAGCGACCCCCCCGACGCATCTGTTTGCAAATGAGGGTCTCAGAATATTGTACAATACGGTAAACCACATAAATCCGGATTAAGGCCAAATAGTGTGGGGGACTCCTAAACATTACTCATAGTGATTGAGGCTATTGGATTTCCAACTTTTCGGCTGCTACTGTAAGTCATTAGGATTTACCTACAGTCTTTACCTACAGTCTCTATTGTATATAGTTCTTTTCTTGGGTTACTTTAGAGGATCTTAATTATAAATTTGGTTAAATCCACAGGGATTTACAATGGAGCCTATAGGTAGGTCTATCTCTACAGGGGCAATTCCTAATGGTTCAAGGGTTACAGTGTGAGGTTGGTTCCTGCCTCAGGGGTCCTCACATTTAGAGCATCTTACATCTTAAGGCTTGTTCTACGCCGTTTACTTCTCAGACACCCTCAAATACGATGGACATGTAAAAGCTCCCTCAGCAACACTCCATCGCCTTATTCAAATTGAAGCCATGAACCCTAACACCTAAACAGCATCAACAAACCAGGCATTCGTTCTCCGTACATGAGGTTCAGTTGACAGACTTCTCGAAGGGAGTGGCGGGTAAAAGTTGCGATAGCCACACCGGACTGCCTTCCTACTTCGTTGTAGGCGCACTGTAGTGCCACCGCAATTACGCTGCCAGGTTGGCTCGGAAGAAGGGCTGATAGTTGTGTAGTTATGTTGATGCCTCTCGTGGAGGGGGCAGGGCATGCCTGCAATAATTTCTGGCCTCACTCAGCAGTAACAGACCCACATGCTCTAGACGAGCGTGATACGACTGATACGATGCATGTTTCGATTTTGGGGTGATCAAGCCCTTAAGCATGTATCCTTCCGCCAAAGTCTCCTGGTTTAAACCTCGATAGAGTTGTTGGGATATCGAAAATGACTAGAGTCTCCGTAGCAGTTCCTTTTTGGGGTTAACAGTTTTTATGGTTAGGATCCTATAATAGAGATTTTGGTTAACCAAAAAAAGGAACTACAATAGAGACTATAGGTGAGATAGGTGAGATTCGAGGTTCGGGATCTCCCTCTCTTTGTATGTCCTACGTAGTTCTTCCATTCCAGGCCCCTAGCCTATCTCAACCTGGCTCCGTAATACCAAACCCTACCTGTAGTCTCCATTGTAGCTCTTTTTTGGGGTTACCTTGTAGGATCCTTAATATATAATTGGTTAAACCAAAAAAGGAACTACAATTGAGACCATAGGTAGACTCTATAAGCCCTAAACCATAGACTCCATAGACTCTAAAATCCAGCCCCTATAAGCCCTAGCCCAGAATGCCAGAGCCTAAGAACTTGCAAGCTCCTCAAGCCCTGAATCCCCACTTGGAGGGTCGGGGGACTTAGTAAGTAGGTAGTAAGTAGACTTGTAAGTACCCTAAAAGGGACCCTAATTGGGTTATGGTACTTTTAAGTCCCTAAAATAACCAGTTACTAAGTCCCCCGACCCTCCAAGCAACCGGACGCGGACGGCAGGCGGAATACTATGAGCAGGCTAAGAAAGTTCTCGGCATGCCGCTTCCCAAGCCTCCCACTGAGATGCTTCCTGGCAGGGTTTAGGGGCATGGGGCTTAGTCATAGGAGGCCAAAAGGGGTTTTAGCTTATGGGGGTTTAGTAGGGATTAGGGTTCCCATAATAGGACTGCTGTCGGCGTTGGCTCTGACGTTTTGGTGTTCTAGCTCATGGCTTTTGCAGAGGCTGTGCAGAATTTTTTGGGTTTGGGGTTTGCGGGTTTATTGTGTCGGGTTAAGGGTTTGGGGTTTACGCTTTATTGTTAGAGTTTAGTCGCGTAATTTACTGGTCATCTTGCCTAAGAAATGGGGGATCCTGGATGCGAGCGAATGAAGGGACGTGGAGTTTGAAGGGAACCCCAAAATCCCTGGCCGAAGCCCTGAACCACCCTGAACCTGAAAGTGGCCGTTCGAAGGACGGCGACCTCATTCAGGGACCTGATACGTTGCTGTCAGTATGTAGGCATAGCTTAGCAACCCTGAACTCTATACCCTAAACCCATCGCCGCGGATGATGTACAGAACTTGAGCCTTAAACCCGAAACCCTGAACCTTCCATCCCAAGTCCCGAATCCTACACCCTAAACCCCGAAACCCGAAGGGCCCTTGTCTTCAGGCTTCATATAGGCGCCTAATGAACTGCCAATACTATTTTGGGGGCTCCTCATTATAATTAGTCCAGGGGCGTTCATGGTTTGGGGGTTTAGGGTTAAGGTTGTTGGGCTATGGCTCTAAGGCTTAGGGTTTTAAGCCTTGGGCTTAGGTTTCAGACTTGAACTCTTGGGTCCTTCAGCCAGGAGAGTGAAAGAGATGCTCTGGCGTGCCGTTGAGGCGGCGTTTTGGGTTTGGGGTTTAGGGTTGAGGGAGGCTGTCGTGATTTAGGGTTTGTGGTGTAAGGGGGCGAGGCTGCATGAGTTAACCCCTCCATGAACCTCTTTGTTCGTGTGATCTCTTCGGCTAAGGGGAAAAGGGGAAGTAGGTCGTAGATCGACGAAGGAAGAGCCACAAAATGGGGTTCGCGGAGGCATCCCAGGATTTCGGGGGGAACCGCAAACATCTCAGTGGCATCCGTTTCCTGGCAGTTCAATAGCATCTGGCACGCTGTTTTCCGACGGAGATGTGCTTGCCATTGATATTATCATCATGTCGTTGGTTTATGATGTTGCAACTTCTGCTGTTGTCACGACCAACAACAATATCTGTAGGACGACGAACTCCACAGAACAGTTGTGATCGTCTATGGCTCGTACAGTCTTCAAGCTTGCTGTTTCTATTGGGTTTGTTCAGTGGGCTACAAACTGTTGTGTGAAGCTCAAGTTCTGTGATCAAGCTACTACTTGTGTTCTAGGACACCATGCTGATAGGTCAAAGGAGCTACTCAAATCTGATGGGGTTGATGTGTAGAGTGTAGAGACGCTGAACCCTGCTCGATCGTGCCCTCAAGTATACGACAATACCCTATATTGAGCCATGGTTTCTAAACCTTATGATAACCCTCAACTGAGCCCTTTGAACCCACTTGTGTGCCCTAGGTACACCCGAAACCCAATAGACCCAATATATATATATATATATATGTATACACACACATACCTATATATAGACAAACACTAAATTCATAGATGCATATAAACTTGTATGCATCTAAACATAGATAGGTAGATAACTAGATACATAGACAGACAAGTAGGCAGACATACATGTGTATCTGTATATATGTCTACATCTACATGCATATGCGTTTACACATATACGTATGCTCAAAAGTACTTACATACCTACCCATATACATGGATTTTTCCATTCATTCATGCATTCATTCATACGTTCATACATTCGTACATACATACATGCACATCTGCACATGTATACATATATACATGCAAACCCGTATGCACATATACATGCATATATATATATATATATGGACATACATATATTATTAACTTGCACATGTATTCAAACCCTAAGGCCCTAAGGGTTCATGCGCAAATTTAGTCCTTTAAGGCCCGCGTATACACTGTATCGGTACATGGCCCCTTTGGAATACTGTACTATAGTCGCCTAGATGCCGAGATCTCCTTCGGCAAGATCCCCATAGTTGCAGCACCTCCTCTGCCTTGGCTGCACCTTTCGGAGCCAGTCACTCGCGCAGCAACTCGCAGTTGGTGCGTGGGACATTGTACATGCAGCCCGCAAAAGCGCGAGCGCTGTGCTCAAGCGGCCCAGGTGAAACGAGTATAGTAGCTGCAGGCCCGCGGGGCAGCTGCGCTCAACAGAAACACCGGAGCGATTGCACAACAGCGCATGGCTGGCAATCGCCACAAAGACGTGAGCAGTATATCGAATGCCGATCAGAAGGGTACGAAATGAAGCGGTAGCAGAAGGGCACGTAACAAGCACACTGCCAGCTACGTTGGCCGATCTAATGAGCATGCACAGTCGCCCGTGAGATTGGGTTTTCGGTGCAGATCTGCTGAGGCGTGACAATGCGAGTAGCCGGGCAGTCGTAGAGTAAACCCTATAAACCTTCTCTCCTAAACCTTATACTGAACCAGCTGATGTAGGCTTGAGTGTAGGATAGCATAAGGATACTAAGATTATATGGTAATGTGATCTACCGTTAGGAACTGTAAGATACTACAGCATTGTATAATACGCTAAATCGAACAGCTTGCAAAAACGCCATACTAGACATATAGAGCTTTGACAGCCGCACAGACCTGCCCTGCAGCACACTATAAAGGCTGAACACAAACCTGTGCGCAGGTGCTGCAGCAGAACCAAAAGGAGCACCGGCATTCTGCTGCACAAGAGTTTGCTCCACCGCCTTCCATGCTGCCATGACCCTAAACCCTAAACCCTAAACCCTAAACCTGCAAACTTGCCGGGGAGCTCTGGCTGTGTAGATATCCGCCCGTTTTGCAGTCACCTGTCGCACTGTCAGACTGTGTCCAAGTTGTCCAAGTTTCAACAATGGTATCAGCAAGAGGGGGTAGTAGTAGTAGTCGTCGTCGTCGTCATGGTCACTGCCATTGTTATTGTCGTTGTTGCTGTTCCTGCTGCTGCAGTTGTTTTGTTTCATTGTTTTGTCGTTCTTGTTGGTGCTCTTGCTGTTCCTGCTGCTGCAGCTGTTTTGTTTCATTGTGTTGTCGTTATTGTTGTTGTCGTTGTTGTTGTTGTGGCGGTGGTGGTGGCCGTGGTGGTGGTGGTGGTGGTGGTGGTGGTGGTGGTGGTGGTGGTGGTGGTGGTGGTGGTGGTGGTGGTGGTGGTGGTGGTGGTGGTGGTGGTGGTGGTGGTGGTGGTGGTGGTGGTGGTGGTGGTGGTGGTGGTGGTGGTGGTGGTGGTAGCTGCTAGTTGCTGGTTGTTGTCGGTTGTTGTTTGTTGTTGGTTGCTGGTCGTGTGTGGTTGTTGCTATTGTTGTTGCTGTTTGTCTTTGGTCCTGGTGTCGATATGATTCATGTAGGCGCTGTTGCTGTTGTTGTTGTTGTCGTTGGTGGCGATGGTGGTGGTGTTTGTGTTGTTGTTGCTGCTGTTGCTGTCGATGCTATCTTCTCCTCTTGACATAAATATTCGAGTTTTACTTGCAGATTGTCTGCTGCTGAGCTTGTTGCTCGTGGCGCTGCTGTGTTTGTGGCTGCTGCTATTCTGCTGCGATTGGTGCATCAGTGAAGCAAGTAGAAGCTTCAGTAATGTTACTGTTGGGCTACTGCCACAATGTCATTCACGACCACGGTCAATATGCCGTTTCCATCGTTCGTGCACCTTTCTGTCCTCCTACTATAGGGGCCTTCATAACTACCATTACTATTTTTGGGTTTCCTTCTTAGATTCCTTCCAGACTTGTGCCTGCATATTATGATTAAAGTATAATATACCCCAAAAGTGTTATCCTAATTATTAAGGCCCTCAGAGTACTGTGCAGGAGCATTTGGTGTCCGCCTGCGCTTTGGCAACGGGTTTGGCGATGCCTGGGCTGCGCAGCTTCGTTTGAGGGTGCTTGGAGGGTCGGGGGACTTAGTAACTGGCTATTTTATATGGACTTATGAGTACCATAACCCCAATTAGGGTCCCGTTTAGGGCCCTTATAAGCAGCTTCGTTTGAGGCTGTGGATTGTTCCCAGAGGGTCCAAGTACCCAAATAGTAGGGTTTTAGGTCCCCAAATCCATACTCTGAATGGTTTTTGGACCTTGAAACCCTACTATTTGGGTACTTGGACCGATAGGGGTTCATACCGGCCCTCATTATCACTATAGCACCGTCACAAGGGTTTAGGGTTTTAGGGGTTTATGGTTTAGGGTTATGGGCTTCATAATCATTGTCCGCACTCACCCTAACCGCCCTAACCATCATTTGCATGTAGCGGTTATCGACTTCGACATTTCAGCCAGCATCATCCTCACAACCTTCACCAGTCACCATCATCATCATCAGCATCACACTCACAGCCGCCAGTAAAATGTCAACATCTGGCTCATTTACAGCTTCATCGTCATCCGGGGTGTGAGGTTTGGCGTTGAGGTTTTGACTTCCAGGGAGGAGGTTGCCTTTTTGTGGGGCGGGTGGGATTTAGGGGGTGGGGCGGGGCGGTTTAGGATTTAGGGTTTAGGGTTTAGGTTCCGGTTTGGGTTGGGCTTTGTGGCTCAAGGGCGCACGGCTTCGGGTTTGGGCTTCCAATGTTGGCTGCGCAGCCTGCCCAACTACAGTAAACTGTACCCGACAAGACCCAAAGCTCCTGAACCCCTAAACTTTGAACCTTGCCCCTACCTGGGAATGCAAAAACCTACTGTTTTAGGGGTTATGACCCTCTAATTCAGGGGTCATAACCTACTATTTTGTAGGGTTTGGGGCATACAGGTAGACACTTACCCCTAAACCCTAAACCCTAAACCCCGAGACCCTAAACCCTAAACCCTAAACCCCGAGACCCTAAACCCTAAACCCTAAACCCCGAGACCCAATCTTCACGGCCTTCAGACGGCCATGAGATCCCAGGTTCTACTCCTCTCTTGCTGCTCCCTATGGCGAGGCTCACGTTTCGGGTGGGTTTTGCTTCATTACCTATAGGCCCCATATAGTAGTTCCTTTTTGGGGTTCTAATATGTAGAATCCTACATGGTAATCCTAAAAAGGAACTACTATGGGGCCTATGCGTAGGTTCCTGTGTAGTGCCCTTCTGCCCTTGTCTGTTTTGATCCTATCAAGACAGAGTATTAGGAAAAAGGGTACTCTTATGATATTAAGGGGCTCCTCAGGAACCCTACCGTAGTTGAAACTACCAGGACCACCAAACCCTCCAATCTAAGCCTAAATCCCACAACCCCCAACCCCAAGCCCTAAACCCTAAGCCCGAAGCCTTAAACCCCAACTCCAAACCCTAAACCTTAAACCCCAACCCCAGATCCAAAACCTCCAAAAATTCCGACAGCTGAATCCCCAAGCTCGGCCCTAACCCTAAACCCAAGGACTCCTTAAAGCTGAAGGCTCTCGGCCCTGAAACCCCAAAGCCCTGAATTCGAAGCCCTAAAACCGTCCGATGTGCGAACTTTCCTGATCTGAACCCGAAGAAGATGTAGGGATTGGGGTCGATTAGAGGGTGTAGGATTTTAGGGCTTCTGGGGTTAAATGTCAGGGTTTAGGTATTTAGGTTAAGGGTTCAGGGCCTACGTACGCTTAAACGACCCTATAAATCCTATAAACTTAGAACTTTAGAGCTATGAACTCCTGGGAGCTGAAATTTTGAAGACAGTTCGTGTGTAGAGCGTGGTGTGAAATTATATATAGGTTACATAAGGTTTAGGGTTTAGGGACCCAAATTACGGTGGGGCATACCCAAGGCCCCAAAGTAGTTCCTTTTCGGGATTACCTTATAGGATTCTATATACGAACCCCAAAAAGGAACTACTTTGGGGCCTTAGGGTAAGGTGATGTTCGCCTACTTGGAGGGTCGGGGGACTTAGTAAGTAGGTAGGAAGTAGACTTATAAGTACCCTAAACGGGACCCTTATTGGGGCTATGGTACTTATAAGTCCCTAAAAAAAAACCAGTTGCTAAGTCCCCCGACCCTCCAAGTAACTCCCCGAACCGTAAAGCCCCAAAGCTTCTCATCCTGCACTGCGGGGGAGTCACCGCTTCTTCCGCCGGAGGCACTCTTTGGCCACAAAGCAGACGGCGACCCGGTTGCACTCCATTGAGGGTTTACCTGGACCGCAAAAGTATGTATATAGAATAACGGCTTTTGATCGGTTTTGGACTATTATTTTGCCTACTTCTGGGTGTTTAGGTAAGGGTAACCACTTCAGATTTCAGGCATTGGGGCTTCCGCGATGCGGTCAAGTTTTGAAGGCACCTGTCACACCCTTGACAATCCAAAACGCCCTGTGCAATCCTATGAGCCCTTAAACCCTAAACCCTAAACCCCGAAGTTCCAAAAATCCTAAATGCCAAACCTTTGTAGCAGTCATGGACTACTACCGAACGGTACACTCTAAACCCTAATGACCGGGGTTCTGAACAAACGGCAATAAGAACTCCCCGTATGGTCCACATATGTGTGGGGTTTAGGGTTTACGGTTGAGGCTTGGTCATTCTAGAAAGCACCACAAGACCATGCTCGACTTATCTCACGCTGTAAGTTCTTCTCAGCTTGAGGGCAGTCATTCAACAAACCCTAGACCTTCCCTGAACCTAAACTCCAAAACCCGAAACCGTAAACCCCAAACTCTAACCTTAAGGGTCCGTGTACTCATCTAGTATATACATTGGCCTGAATGTAGTCCCTATAAAGGTACTTTGGGGCTCATGTATCTCTATATGGGTACATGGACCCTTAGGGTAGGTCCGAAGCCCTGAACCTGACATCTCCAACGTCAGGAGAGAGGCTGGCTCAGATCAACGTCACGTGCACGACCATTGTGGGCTTGGACGCGCGGCTTTTTCGGCTTCGCTTTCGGCTTGGGCTTGGTTGGGCTTGAGGGGGATTGGGGTTTATAGGGTTTAGGTTTTTGGCTTGGCTTAGAGTTTATGGGGTTAAGGGTTGTTCGGCCTGGGCATGTATGGTTCCCTAATGGTTCAAAGTAGGGTGTGTAGGTGCTGGGAGAGTATATGATTACTTGGTACTTGGTCTAGGATGCCCAGTAGTATCCTTATTCCCTTTTTGCAGTCCTAGGTTCCTTATAAAGTTACCCAATACCAAAAAGAGAGGCCTTTTTATTCCTAGGTTGCTGGGCATCCTAGTGGTGCAAACAGTAACAAGGGCTTATCAGGCTTCTTTGGGGTAGAGTCTTGAGGTGCAGGACATAGGGTGTAGGGCCCAGGCTTCTACTCCTATGACTCCTAATGAGTCCTATTATTACTCCTACTCCTACTCCTCCTACTACTACTCCTTCTGCTACTGCGACTACTACTACTACTACTACTACTACTACTACTACTACTACTCCTCCTGCTGCTGCTACCACCACTACCACTATCCCGACCAGTACCAGTCACCACCACATCTGCATCCCCAAAACCCTGAAACCTTCTGTCTTTGAGAGGAAGGTGTGCATGTTGCGGGTACTGACATCTTGGAGGGTCGGGAGACTTATAGTAACTGTCTATTTTAGGGACTTATAAGTACCATAACCCCAATATAGGGTCCCTTTTAGGGTACTTGCGGCCTGGGTTCTCAGGGTTTGGATTTCCGAGTTTGTGGCGTCTGGCCAACGCTTGAAACGAAGGGTCTAGAGGTTTAGATTTGGGAGTTTTCCGATAGTTAGGGTAGCTTATTTTGGGGTCCTTATAAGAAGGATCCTACTATTTAGGGTACTCTACTTGTGTCCCCATTTTCGGACACTCCCATTTGTATCCCAGCTGTTGCAGGTTCAGGGGCACAGGTTGAGACCCTCGGGCTCTTGAGTCTCTAATAACCCCGCATCACTTCGATTTCAAGGCCTTTGGCCCCTTTGTGGGAACCTTTGCCGACGCCTTCGGCCTGGAGGCAGGTAAGTAGATGTTAAGCACTCTTCTTGAATACAATACGTGCATCTATGAATATGATTGTCGGTTCACTTGTTCATCTAATAAGTACACATGTAATCATTTAATCATGGAAGTATACTTTTATGTGCTTCCATATGTGCGTACCTGTGTGTTTATTACCTTATGTGATGGGTGTCGGCCTACTCATGTCCTTAGTTTGTTATCAGTTCTGCACATGTGGCTATATAAAACATATATATATATATATATATGTTTATATATATATATAGGTCTGTATATGTATATATATATATATACATATGTATATATATATATATATGTATATATATATATATATATATATGTATATAGGTCTGTATATATGTGTATATATATATATGCATGTAAGTACGTATATGTGTGTGTATATATATATATATATATAGGTCTGTATGTATATATATATACACACATATACATATATGTATGTATGGGTGTAGATGCACATATGTTTATGCATGCGCATATGTATCGATATGTAAATTTCCAGGTGTATATATATATATATACACATCCGCATGCACAGCTCATGTGTCCGCGTTGTTGCAAGACGGAGATCTCTGGACACGCTTACACGGAGGGTCGGGGGACTTAGTAACTGGTTATTTTAGGGACTTATAAGTACCATAACCCCAATTAGGGTCCCTTTTAGGGTACTTATAAGTCTACTTACTACCTACTTACTAAGTCCCTGAACCCTAAACCCTAAACCCTATAGACCCCTACAGAGCCCTTTAAAGGACCTACTTACTAAGTCCCCTAAAGACCCTCCAAGTACACGGTTGCGGCATCCAGCACAGCTCGACCAAGACCGACCTCTAAACCCCAGACCAGAGCCTAGGCCCTCCAGGGTTTAGGGGGGTTTACCTACTTAACCCTTAAAGAACCTACCTTTCTAAGGTAATTTAGGGCTTGAGGTTTAGTTTAGGGCCCAGAGGGTTAAGGTTGTCGGGGTAGGGTTTACATGGTATTGTGTTTTGGATTTCCCTTAATTAATTAATCATAATAAGGAGCCCTAAAAAGGTAGGTTCTTTAGGATCCAGGTAGGGCCTACAGGGTTCAGGGTGTAGGGGTGGGGTTTACGTGGTATAGTGTTCAGGGTTTAGCGCCTAGGGTTAAGGGTGTAGGGGTAGGGTTTACGTGGTATAGGGTTCAGGGTCAGGGCAGGTACTTCAAATCGAGTTGCTGACGAGAACTTGGGGGACGACGTATATGGCATGACATAACGCTTTGAACAGAGTCCAGTGTCTTCTCGTACCAAGGAAGTAAAGGATACTTGAAATGATGACGATGACGGGGATGAGAATGCCTGTGGGGTTTAGAGTTCGGAGGTTTAGTGCTCAGTGCTCCGGGATCAGTACAGCGTTGAGGTTCGAGGGTCGTCGACATCCCCAAAACTATGGTTCACTTCGGTTTTTCACCTTGTAGTGTTGCCGTCAAACAGGGGAAGACACAGAATGGTATTTCAATAACTTTGAGAAGAACAGGAGGATACCGACAATGCCACTGCGCCGTACTGCTCAGTAGGATGTTCATGAGAGGACAGGAACAACGAGATGCTGTAGATAAATGATGGTCCCAATCCCTCACGAGTGGATGGTAACTCAGGCACTTATCATCATTTTCGGCTTTCTCATGGCCGTGGCAGCAGGATCGACACTTGACCTGCAAGGATTAGGGCCGCAAACTCCTAATGCTACCTATAGTCTCCATTGTAGTTCCATTTTTTGGTTAACCAAAAACCCTATTATAGGATCCTAGCCATAAAGCTGGTTAACCAAAAAATGAACTACAATGGAGACTATGGGTAGATTCCCAGCCGGCTTGCTTCTGGCCGAAGATCCTCAGGACCTGTGTAATCACCAAAGCCGCTGGTCGAGTATGGTCTCATACTTCCATGTAACCCAAACAGGGTTCCTTTAAGAGTTCCTATAAGGGTTCTAGAATCTATAAAGGTTCCTGTAAGGGTTTGGGGTTTAGGGTCTAAGGGTCCATGTACCCATATAGAGATACATAGGGACTACATTAACCCTTAGGGAATCAGAAAAGCCCTCAAGTAATATGGATGACCCAGAGGCGTCTTGATAGCCTTGAGTCCTGAAGATTGTCTAGCCCTAAGGGGCCATGTATTCATGTAGTGTATACTTTGGCCTTAATGTAGTCCCTATATAGGTACTTTGGGGCTCATGTATCTCTATATGGGTACATGGACCCTCAGGGTAGTTCTCTGCATCCTAAGCTGCTTCTTGGAAGCCCGGTTGCCAAAATGATAGGTTACGCACGATGGTAGGATCATATGGGTTTGACAATGCCCAGAGACAGTAACCCCACGCCTGTCGGATTCCGGGATTTCTGTCGTTCGAGGTGTTGAAGAAAAGACATGACAAAGAGCGAGTCGCGACAGACCCGGCCAACGAGAGTTTCCTCTTGCAGCGGTACCCTTGTGCTTAGCTAAAAGTCGCTGTCATTCTTAATCCCTGTAGTACTCTGATGATCACAGATTGCTTTATGAAAATGACAAAAATCCCTATCAGCACCGCCATCAGTCTTTCTTTGTGTGTATTGTGGTATGACGTCGGTCGAAAGGCTCGGAGTGTGCAGCATCTAGAATAGTCCGCTTACAATGCATCTTATGGCCGTCGGTGTTCGTGTCGACTTGAAGTTGGCTAACGTTGTCATTGTCGTTGTTGTTGCTGCTGCGGTTGTTGTACTTTCTGCTGTACTTGCACTTGTGACTGCTTTTCTCCGAATGCAGAACGACACCAAGGATGCCATTCGCGAGCTGGCCCCTTCAGATCGTTTGTGCAGTTGCTCTTGCCACCTCGGCACGAACTTGACTGTCTGGTTCTTAGTAGGGAATGGGGGAATGGATTATTCAGACTATTACTAGGGAGTATATAGGGGCTACTGTACGGATCCATTCCCCCTTTCCCTACTAAGCACCAAGGAGTTGAGGGATTCTTCTGTCACGACCCGAAGCGACTGCAGGCTTCTAGGCATTGGGTTACCTGAGCTCCTCAGGGATCTGCGCGTGCAACCTCAGCCCTACGCGGTTTAGATTTTAAGGAATCGCCTCCCTGAAAGAATCTTCACAACCCTAAACCCTAAACCGCCAGGGCCCCCTAATTTAAGGGTTTAGGTTTTGGAGGTTCGCCTCGCTTCAAGAATCCTCACAAACCTTAACCCTAAACCGCTTTGACCCAGGTTCTGTACATGGCTCTGTGGGCCATCTTCATTTCCCGGCACCTCGGCTCTTGCGTGAAGCAGCTTTTTCGATATCCATGACAAGGATCTGTAGGCCTTTGTCTTCGTCACATTATCTGGACCTGCAGCAAGATAGCTCGTTTATGAGTTAGCATATCTGGCGTCTATAGGAAGGTGCGGTTCCGGTATGATGTTTGCTCCAACTACGTTGCTTAACAGCATCTCAGGTATCTCCTCCTCTACTCGCCTCCCAACCGCATTGGGGCAACGCAAGGCAGGGTCACCTGTCAGAGAGCGGCTGTGCAAAGGCCCAAAAACTGATCGTGTCTACCAAACAAAACCGAATTCTAAATCCTGAAAACCCCACCCCCAGCCCATCACACCCCAAGCCCCCTACACCCTAAACCTTAAACCCCAACCCCAAGCCCTACACCCTAAGCCCAAAGTCAAGTACCTTGCACGCGACTAAATGTCCAAACCTGGTTGAACTCCTATTGGTTCTTCATCTGAAGCATGACTTAGGCGGCTGTATCTATGTCAAACAATGAAACTGTGCCTCCCTTGTTCTAGCATGTTAAACTCCAGTGCCGCCCAACTTTCAGTGAGTGTGCTTGTGCGTGCTTGTCTGCTTTCTGTGGGCCAGTTTTATCAGTGGGCTGCCAATAACAGGCAAAACCTGCAATCCTACGAAGTGCACAACTCCCAAAAGGCCCGAAATCCAGGGTTTAGCGTTTATAGGTGCTAGTGGTCGAAGGTTAGGGCTGGGGTTTAGGATTTATCGGTGATTCTGCTGATGGACAAAAACCAGCATTACCCATTATAAGGGATATAATACCATAATTGCCATAGCCTAGGGTCCTTAGGGTCATGCAGGATTTTGTCCATCAACAGTTCATCGGTGTTAGGCAAGGCGAGTCGGCCCAGAACCCTGAACTGTGCAGGTGAAACATTTCGAACGTCCGTGTATTTTGGTATCTGCTCGTGTATTTCTATGGTCTACCTGCAAGTCTAGCTATCTGCGTATCTGTGTATGTGTGTATGTGACGCATGCATGTACACACATATATATATATAATATTTATGTACATACATACATTTTCATTTAATAGCCTACCTGTCTAATTTGTGTATTTACCTGTTTACCTATTCGGTTATCTATTTGCTCATTTGTTTCTTAATTCGTTTCAATTTATTCGTACACACACACACATTTCTGGGGTTTTGCGTTTGCTGCTATAGGGGGAGCCTGCAAAAACCCTGCAATCGCCCAGATGACACTTTTGTCGTATTGCGCGCATCCCGTCTTCAAGTGCAGAAGAGAGGGAGTCCTAAGGGTTTAGGGGTTTAGGGGTTTGGGGTTTAGGGGTTTAGGGGTTTAGGGTTAGGGGTTTAGGGGTTTAGGGTTAGGGGTTTAGGGTTCAGGGTTTAGGGGTTTAGGGGTTTAGGGTTTAGGGTTTAGGGTTTGGGGGTTTGGGGTTACAGGTTTAGGGTTTAGGAGTCCTCGGAAACCGAAGCTTAACCATCAAAAGCTTGAATCACCGAACTCGAGGCTGAAAACAGATGTTAAATACGTGGTTGAATCCCGTAAAACCTAGAACCCCAAACCCTTGTTGAAGCAGAGAGAACCCAAAACTAGTGGCCCAGGAATCTGAGTAGTTAGCATGGAATAGTGTGCCCCCAAAACTCGAATGCGATCTCTTGCCTTAAACCCTATAAACCCCAAACCCCTAAACTCCCAAACCCCAAATCCTAAACCCTTAACCCCCAAACCGCAAATCCTAAACCCTTAGCCCCCAGACCCTAAACCCGCCAGGAGTCTACTCTTTAAACCCTATAAACCCCAAACCCTTGCCTTAACCCTTAACCCCCAACCCCCAAATCCTAAACCCCTAAACCCGCCAGGAGTCTACATTTTAAAGGACTTATGTAAAGAAATCATAATAAGGAACCCTATTCAGGGTTAAGGCAGACCCTGAACCCGCCAGGAGTCTACTCTCTCGGTGTTGTTATGATTGGTCTGCCTTGGCAGATGCTGGGGATCGGAGCCACCTCGGTGCTTCCGAAAGGCGGGTCTTTTTGACCCCGAGTTTTGAGGTTTAGGATTTGGGTGGTTGTCAAAATTATGGTCCCTTTTTGGGTAGCCTAAATATTGGGTGCCGTATTATAATAAGGACCCAAAAAGGGACCCTAATATTGACAACCACCCATTTGGAATCAGTTTCCCAGAGACTCCAATATCTTTTAATTAAGGAATATACCCTAGATCAGATTTGGGATCCTACTATCATTTAAGGTATGTTCCTTAATTAAGGGAGGAGTCTCTGGGTTTGAGGTTTAGGATTTGGGGTCGATTTTTCTGGACCCTAGAACACCTAGCTTTTTGTGAGATCCTACATCTGTTTTCCTTAAAGACCTCTTTCAAAAGGTAGCTTATTGGGCGGGCGAAAAAAGGGCTCAGGGCGTTCGGCCGAAGGTTCAGGGCAGGATGTAGGGTTGCAGCTCAACAGTTGGGGACTTTGGAGTAATCTGGACCGCCCCCCCCTCCGCAAAAGCCTCTGACCCGAAGTACTGAAACAGATGGAAATGAATAGTCCGCCACGGAAAAACAAGGACCTCACAGTTTGGTGTAGAGTTGCAGCGTTCGCCTATATCAATGCAAGGCTTTGAAGTCTTTGGTCTACGTTTAATTTCGTATGTCTCACGTGGATGATGATGAGGAGGAGGTCGAGGAACAGGGGGTGGCGGACAATGATGACTCAGATGATGGGAGTGTAAGAGAGGTCGAGCATGAGGAGGAGGAGGAGGAGGTGGAGGACGTTGCTTGGGATCAAGATGAGAGTGACGATGATTAGGAGGATGGCGGGCGTGAATGATCACGATGTGCGAATCAGGACGTGCAGGAGTCGGGCATTAGGATGCCGACGATGAGCAGTTTCGGGGATGAGCATGAGGACATGAGGACAAAGCTGACGGCGAGGACGAGGATAAGTAGCCCAAAACGCTAGTTGTAACACAGTGGTCTGAATGATTATAAAACGTCTTCTCCTAGCATATATATATATATACACATGTATATATGTGTGTATGTATATACAGAGTTTTGCTGTGTCATCTAGCCCTAAACTCTTCGAGTGATTCAGGCCCCCATTTTGGGAACCCGAATCCAAACTCGAAAGCCTTGCCGTAGTCGCCGGCTTCCCCCTGAGCCTCAACTTCCAAGTCCGCCTTCTAGCCTTTTTTTAAGGTTTTAGGGTTTAGGGGCCTCTTGATGCGAATTTGTCAAGGGCTTGAGGCAGGTATGTTTTTGCCTGCAAAGTATGGATAGAGCTCACTGATGCAATTGTCTTCCTGCTTCCTTGAATGCATTGCGACTTGATGGCAGGTGGAAGGGTGACCAGTCTGGGGTTCTGTGATAGTCCCAGAGGGTCCATATACACTACCATTATGGAATTAGGCCCCCAAAGCCATAATGGAATGGTCTTTTGGGACCTAATTCCATAATAGTAGTATATATGGACCCTCTGATAGTGTTTTGCTTTCAAGTAATGGATCCGAATATTTCGGAACAGCGTGCAAGCTAGCAGTCGCACTTCCCACCGTATTCAGGTGTACTTGATGGTTCATGGGTACAGTAGTTGTAACTAGGGTTATAAGTAGGGTAACTATACGTATAACACATATTAGGGGACTTATACAACACCACTTATAACTACCCATGAACCTTCAAGTTCAACTTAAAAGCACCGAAGCAAAAGGCCAAGATCCTCATCTCTGGTGTGTGATCGCAGGATAGGAATTCGGGACCCAAAAAGGACATAAGCATAAGCACTTTACGGGATACCCTTACCTTACTGGGCTTCATTATAAGCGGGGGTTCTCTGGGATATCCCTATCCTGTTTTTTTGTCAGCGAGCAGACCTGACTTTAAAAGTTGCTTAAAGCTGTCGCCGGACTTAGCCCTTCAACTCTTGAACTCCTCAGAGCTGTACACGAAGAACAGGGACGAGCATCAGAAGCTTAGATGTCCAGTCGGTAGCCTTCAGCCTAATCCGCGATAGCAGTTCGAGATCATCTCAAGCCAAGGTTGCTGGAAGGCAGGGAAGGATGAACTTATACAACAGTATCTTCACCTAACCGGCGTCGTGGTCATCGTCAGCAGAACCGTCCCATTGCACCGGGAACTAGCCAGACTCATAACACTTGAAACGGTGCACCCTAAACCCTAAGCCCCTAAACCCTAAACCCCTAATCCCGAATGCGTAGCATGCACGGCTGAATGCGTTTGTTAAAGCCTGACAGGCCCAGACGCATATCGAATTCCGATGTGGGTGTGTCTCGGCGATTGCTATGTGAGAGCCTTCTAACTTCTAACAGCAGTATAGCTACCCTGCTTGGAGCCCATTTCTTGTTGTGAATTCCGTCATGCTGTAGTTCTTTACGAGCTGTTTACGTATACACTTATGGTTTCCATGAGCGTCTCAGCATGCAACTCCCACAAACCTATCTAGCACCCTTCGCCTATGTTGCACACCCGTTTAAGCTTCGCTGATGCACCTAATGCAAGGGCCTTAAATAGTTAGAACAGGGTTTTTGGGGGCTCCTTGTTCTTTTTATTAAACTTTAGTACAATATACCCCCAAACCCTATTCTAATTATTCAGTCCCCTGACATTAACGAACACAAACACCCATCACCACCAACCCGGGTTTCGAGAAGAGGAGACAACTTGGAGTCCTACTATAGGGGCCTAAATAGTTACCACTAATTTGTGGGCTCCTTCTTATAGTTGTGGTATAATATACCCCAAAACCCTATTCCAATTATTAAGGCCCCTGTATTAACCAACCGGCATTGCGACGATCTGCTTAGTTCGTTTGTAAATGTGGACCTGATCGGTGGAGGTGGGTGGGGCCGCCAGGTGGAATGCTCCGTTTGCCATACATTCAGATGGCGAGACCTTTTAAAACCTCAACCCTACACCTTTTACCTGCGAGTTTACGGTGACTTGTGCTGCCTCAAGGCAGTCCGCTATGTAGCTAGAACAGGCTTATGGACGACACAGTTAGGTTGATCGGAAACTCTTAGTTGATCCAAGAGTTCTCTACTGATAGCATTTAGGGTTTGGGGCGCGTGCGCGCGGATGTGTGTGTGTGTGACCTGATGCAGTCACCAACCGATCCGACTCTCGCAATCAAGGCTCGTCATTATCATACAGGCCCGAGCAATGATAACCATGCGATTCGCTCTTTTTGTTATTATCATCATCGTCGTCATCCGTCTCGCGTTTTGCACCAACTCGCTCTCGATCACTTGATCAACATCCCTATCACCATCATCAGACGCGCGATCTCAGCTTCGTGCCTACTTCTTGCCTTACAGGTTGCAGCCAGAACCTGGAGCTTCTGCGTTCTTCTGTCTGCAGAGCCTTTACCCGTGGTACTGTGCGTCAAACGGTAGGTATAGAGTGAGCAGGGAATGACATGGACAAGCGTTGTCAATATCTCTCGCTCCCATAGGCTACCTCGACCTATAGTCTCCATTGTAGTTCCTTTTCGGGTTTACCTTCTAGGATCCTTAATATAAAACTGGTTAATCCGAAAAAAGGAACTACAATGGAGACTATAGGGAGAGATCTAGAAGTTGGCGTGGGCTAAGGCTTTGTCATCCATCTCCAGACTCTACCCAGAGGCTCCATGGTAGTTCCTTTTGGGGCTCATACTTAGAATCCTATATGGTAATCCCGCAAAAAGAACTGCTATGGAGCCTCGAGGTATACCTGAAACCTCAGAAATAGACAACCAAACCCAAGCACTTGCACCCTTGGCTCGGCTGACAGCCTATGATAGTGGTCTGAGTTAATTGGTGCAACGCACCCGGCAGCCCTATCCTAATTATGAACACCCCAAAAACCTGACCTATAACAGAGAAACCACCAACCTGAAACGGGAAACCCTAATCTCCGGAGACCGGGTGTCGACTTCCTTAGGGCAATGTTGTATCCTTCTATAAGCCTTAGAAGGGCTTCCTACACAGGTACTTCGGGGCGAGACCCCCAACATGGACCCTCAGTGAACTTTAACTGAGGTTTGCTGCAATGGGCATTCTGGCCATGAGCTTGTATGCCTGCTTCTACCGAAAGAACCCTCCACCGGAAGTCCCTCCTTTGACGCCCAGCCGCAGGGAAGAAGGTATAGGGATTAGTCGTTTCGGATGTCGTTGAGGACTTATGCTGTCGATCTACTTCTCCCTACTGTACATGCTCGAGTAGCTCTACCGAGGTTGCGGTTTGGGAAGCTGTCAACTTGAAATGAGTGGGAGGCTTTACCTGCATGACCTAGCATTCCTTGTAGCTGACGAGTTGCGGGCTGTTGCGCTCGGGGTGTCCAAACTAGCTGGTTAAGGATCGACAGTCAGCGTTTGTGACATACTGTGGCACGACTCTTTTCCCTGAGCCCAACACTCTAAGCCGTTCTCCCTGACCCCAAACTAAACCTTTATAATCCAAAACCCGCAGCACCAAACGCGAGCGTTGAACTCAAGCCACAGCTCTTGCACTCTCAGAAGCCAAAATAAAAGCCTGACACCCTCACAGCGACAAGCCATACAGTCCTAAAGACCGAACGAGCCCGCAGAAATCCCACAAGCCCCGACGCCCTAAAGCTTCAAAGCTCCGAAAGAACAGGCTGAACAAGCCCCGCATCCAAGGTTGCCGGAGGACGAAGCAGAGTTAGCCAAGGGCTTCGGCTGTGGCAACCTGGACGAGGCAGGGCGCACACGACAGCTGAGTAAGACAAGAAGCTTTGTTGGTTGGGGACTTGCGCGGCTTAGGGTTTAGGGATATTAAGCCATTCATAGCCCTATTTAGGGTTTAGGGATCCCAACCCTACACAGCAAATGGCCCTGAGTGAAGGGGCATTCAGGGCCTAATTTAAGGTGTGGCGTTTTTCGTGGCTGAGGCCTCAGGAATTCGGAATACTTAGTAGCTGAGTGGATACACTTGACACTTTTTGGGATAATATTACCCACTATAAAGCTGAAAGGGTATGCTTTTTTGGGGGGGATTGTGAGCTCAGCAACTAAGGGATCAAAGTTGTTAGGGATGTATATGGGTGGAGGGGGTTCAAGACCTCGGGTCCCCCCTGATGTCGGTCTATGGTTTAGGGTTCAGGGTTTATGGTTCAGGGTTTAGGGTTTGGGATTAGTGATTAGGGTTTAGGGATTAGGGTTTAGGGTTCAGGGTTTAGGGATCAGGGATTAGTGATTAGGGTTTAGGGATTAGGGTTTAGGGTTCGGGGTTTAGGGGCAAGGGATTTGGTTTGGGGCAGTTTTAGGTTTCGGGGCTTGGGATCCAGGTTGAATACTTACAAGTTACAAGCATGCATGTGTCGAACAATATGTAGATGTCAGGTGTAATGCCCTAAACAAGACCCTAAACCCTACCTCAATCCCAAATAACCTGCTATACCTTATTATCAAGGACTCATATAAGGAAATCAGACTAATAAGGAACCCTATACATGCAGGTTCCTCAGGGTCCAGGTCGGCTTAGTGTCAGCAGTTTCGACTTCCGGAAGGTCAGCACTTGGACTCGAAGCCATGATTCCATGACTTGCTTACATACAACCCTAAGAGTCCAAAGGGCCCAATAATGAGGTACTCGGTTTTAGGATATTAATTATGTAGGTTCGGATTTTGGAGATTGTATGATTATTGGGTACTTGGACCTTTCTTAGGGTTTAGATTTAGGGTTTAGGGTATCTTGCAGTGCCGCTTATGCTCCCCAAGGGCCAAGTATTAATGTAGTTTCGGGGCCCCACTATCTGCCAGGTACAGCTACCATATTGGTCGTGGACCCCTCAAGTTCATATATATATATATATATATATATACATATACGCACACATATACATATATATAGTAACGATTCCAGTGTTCGCATGAGGCTCCTCAAATTTATACGGCACTCTTATTCGAAGGACCCCAAAACGGGCCCTGAACTAGAGAACCGCCCATATATCAACGCGCCCCGTATGACCCTAAACCCTAAACCGTAAACCCATATTATCGGCCACCTATGACTGCGTTTACATCCTCAAAATCTTCCGAGGTCTGTGAAGTCACGAATACGAAGACCAAAGCTGAGTTGATCAGGAGAACGGGACTTGAGTGTTTAGGTTAATGGTTTTTTACAGGTTTAGGGATTGGGGCCGTGGCGGTTTTGGGTTTCGGGTTATACAGGGGTTTAGGGGGGCTTGGGATTGTAGGTTTAGTTCCTTGCTTGGGGAGTTGATGGTTTGATTATTGGGTTTCGAGTCTTTTCAGCTGGTGTTCAGAGGTCAGGCCTGCTAGGATCATGCTGGCTATGTTTCTTGGATCTCATATCTCCGTGAACTTCATTTCTCCGTTAAAGATGGTAATTTCAAGCAGGGGTCGTGGTGTTCATGGTGCACATCCCAGCTCATCATGTTCCACTGCAGAATTCGGACAATTTCTCGGGCTTCCTTGACATATATGTACAGTTTGTATAGTACAGAACCACCTAAAGCAGTAGTACTTCAGTCAGTGGTACTTGTCCGCATTTTTTTTTTTTTTTTTGGGGGGGGGTTGGGGTTCCTTGCTATCTGAGTAGAGTATAGAGCCACAAAAAGCACTGCTGCGCCATGGTTTTTGAAGTTAGAGCCTGAGGCTCCAAATCCGAGGTCTTGATCCATAAACCCCAAACCCTAGGACATAGAGTAGGCCCTTTTTCCCTTGTTTAGGGTCCTTTAAACCAACAAGGGCACCCGTTTTTCCTAGGTTACTCTGGGGTCTAGAAAACCCCCGAACTAAAGACGGTCCAGGGTGTGGGTCTTGAGGGTTTACAGGTTTGGAGCGGCTTGGGCCTAGACCCGAACACCGTAAACCGTCACCCCGAACCCCAAGCTTTTCAACATCCTAAACTCCAGAGCCCGCCTATGCAGACCCGAAGATGTAGCTCCGTTTTGTGTTACTGTGGTTTCCCGTTATAGGAGTCGAACCGTAGTTTAGGATTGGCTGTCCGGCTGTTCGGAGCCAGGAATTCTGATTCTAGTCTAGGTGTACTAAGCCCCGAACATCAGACCTGAACCTTGACCCGTAGCCCGAAGCTCTCAAGCCCTTAACCCTGGATGTTAGAGGGACTCCGCTTGCTCTTGGCCTCAGAGAGGAAATTGGCATCCTCGAACCCGGAGGATATGCTCTCCGGCAAGGATATGGGCGATCAATATGGTAAGTTTTGTGGGTCCAGTGTTCTATGGCTTCTGAGGGTCTGGCTACTCTTCACGCCAGCTCTGTGGTTTCTGAAGCAATCCAGCCAGCTCTTGGTGTGCGAAAGACCGTGAGGTTGATGACGGGGCAGACGGCCACGATGATGAGCGGTGGCGATGATGGTGCTCACAGCCTCATGTATAGTGAGTGTAGCATTTCGTGGTGAACTTGTTGCCTGGATGATGTTGGCTGTGCTGACGATGATCGTGATAGTGGTTCAGGTTGTGGTGCTGATGCTGACTTCGATTCTGGTGCTGCTGATGATGATGATGATGATGGCTGGTGATGACCTTGGTGGTGCTGGCTGCATCAGCTTCACGCCATCACCAGCTTCGCAATCGTCATCATCGTCGATGCCATCATCATCTGCATCATCACCAGCACCAACATGACAGTCATCATAGTCGTCATCATCACCCACAGTCATCATCACCGCCCTCATCGTCATCGTCGTCATCATCATCACCATCATCACCATCGTTATCGCGATCACCATCGTCATCCTCACAACTTAGTGCTTGTGTGTACGGCAAGGCTCTGAAGATAGACGAAGCTGATGGCGCGGGCGATCACGTGAGTTTACGTGCGCAGTCTTACCGTGTAGCATCTAAACACAAACTGTGCCAAGTGTCATCGAGAAGCCAAAGCAGCAGCTGCGGTGCAAAGGCAAAGCCTCATCAAGAGCATCGACACGCAAAAGATGATGGAGCAGCTTGGCTCTTTAGGGTTGTGGGACTGATTCAGATTCCGGACTCACTAAGCCTAGGCGTCGGGAATGTGGGGTTGGTTCTTCCTTGGCGGGGAGTCCAATTCTCTCCGCCCCGAGGCCCGAGACCCCATGCACCCTTGACGCTCTGAAGCTTAAATTTCAGCTCAACCTCCCATATCCCGCTTCATTTTTGCAGCGTCTCGCCTTTCATAAACTTGACGAAGTTTAAAGTTCACGGGTTGGGGTTTAGGGTTTAGGGTTTAGGGTGGTCTGGTATCACTTGAGAACCTGTAACACTATAAGGCTCTGGATTAGCATGTGCAGGGATTTAGGTTTAGGGCTTGTTGGTGTTTGGCTCTTGTAATTGGAACTTGTTCTTGCAAAGGACATTCCTGACAAAGCGTTGGCTCAAGGGGGCTTGTGGTTTAGGGTTCGGTGTTCAGGGTTTATGAACCTGTGCAGGATGGTGGGGTATTGAAGGCACCTGATTAAATCCTCGTCTCTAACATCGAATTGTATTGCGGATGCGAATGTCAATTAAGGATCTCAGTGGCTCAACACAGGTCTACATTTTTTTGGTTGAGGAGTTAGGGTCGAGGGAATTTATTTGTGTTGCGGAATCATGGTAGGTTACAGGGATGCAGGGCGCCTACCTGAAAACATCAAACTCACTAATCACTAAACCGAACCCTCATCGCCAAGCCGCTAAACCCTATATCCTGAATTCAGGGGCTTAGAGCGTAGGCGGGTCGAGAGCTTAGAGATTGGTTCATGGTCGAGCATTCAAGGGCTGGATTTAGGGTTCGAAGTGGCCTGGTATCATTTGAGAACCTGTAAGACTATAGGGCTTCGGGTGTAGGGGTGGTAGCACGAATTCTCATTCCCGCATCCCGGCACTGACTTTTACCTGCGCCTGGACGGCTGAGGATGATGGCACGACGCCCTGTGGAGGACATCGCTGACATGATGGAGGCTCACACTAGGGACCCAGAAAGTTCCGTGAACAAGTAGCCAGACCATAAGGGTGCATGTACTCGTATACGACATACCTTGGCCAAAAGGTATACCCGATAATATGGCTACTTTTGGGCCACAGTATGTTTTCACCCTATCCGCTAAACCCCAAAGTGAGTGGACCCTTAGGTCAGAACACTGGCATGCCAGACAATCTCCTCTTGAAGTTTTCGGATTTAGGGTTTAGGGTTTGTTTGTGTGTTTTCGGGGGCTCCCAGCTCAATCCCGGCTTCAGAGGTTAGGGTTTAAGGTTTGGGATTTAGGGTTGACGGTTCCATGAGGTTGTAGGACCAGCCTTCACTGTCCTGAACCTACATTGTTGATCTAAGGGAAGAGCTTTGGACATTTCTTGTTGGCATTCTGGTCTACGTAGAAAAACTTCGATCTTTGAAGGAGAAGACTCAGAAGACAAAGCCTCAAGCCCTATATCCACAGGCCTACAACCTATTCAATCGCATCTAAAGCCTTACACACCCTCAACCGTGAACCCAAAACCCCACACGGAGTGCGGGGCCTACATCTTTGGAAAAGGCAAGCAACCAGAAACCCGGCATCGAATTTTACTGGTCTTGAGCCGCTTCAAGCCCTGTGCTTCCAAGGACCTTATCCTGGGTTTGGAGTACCATACTTGAATACTTGTTTTGGTACTTGTTCCTTAAAGGAACCATTATGAAATAAAAGTATATACATTTCTCTCTCTGGTTACTTCAAAGTCGAGTTATAGTTAGGCCCTAGACCCCTTAAGGAGCCAATAATAAGGTCCCTGGAAGTATAGGGAAAGTTTCGGGAGTTTGATGTTCGTTTCTTGGCTACCAGATGTCGATCCACTGACCTTTCAAAGGGACGTTTAGGCTTGGGGTTCCAGGTTTAGGGTCTAGGATTTCAATCCGCGGCCGCGAGTACATAAGTTTTATTTAGCACAGCCCACTACCTGGACAGCATATCGGAGGGGGCTAGGAAACGCCCGTATCAAGATTGATGAGAAGCTCCCGTATACCATTGTCCACGCCTGGTAAACTTTGTGCATTAGGATTGTAGGGGGTGGTTCCACACCTCAGTGCTGCAGCGGAACTCTCCAGGTTCATTAACTTGAGGGTCCGGTTGCCCCTATACAGTAGCATATCCTTTGGCCGTAGGGTAGTCCCTACACAGGCCCACACACGTTCGTATCTGGCATGATCCTTCATACCACTTCCGCAAGCATATATTAGAGCATTGCTTAATTTTGCTGGCAGGCGTCATACCCTTGTAGTAGGGTCCCTAATATGATTTTAAGGGTATTCGATATAGGAGTTTCTGGGAACCCTAAACTTACCTTTGGTTAGTAGGGAATGGAAGAATGGTAGTAATAGTAGTTTTAATTGTACCGCATTCCTCCATTCCTTGCTAACCAAAGGTAAGTAAACCCTTCCTTTTTTGATATCAGGAGAACGACGGCGGGGACGACGAGCCAGAAGAGGAGGAGGAGCTCCCAGCTGTGAACCCTGAAGCTAAGACCCCTAAACCCTGGGTTTGGAGTACCATACTTGAAAACTTTTTTGGTGGTACCTGTTCCTTAATGGAACCATTGTGAAACAAAAGTCTATGATTTTTCTCCCTGGTTACTTCAAAGTCCAGAAACTCCCTAAACTCTAAGCCTTAGACTGAGCTTCTTAAAGCCCAAATCCTACACCGTAGCACCGTTTAGGAGATCGGGGTCTAGGGACCAATCTTCCGGGACGGAGGCCGCACCAAGCCTCTCCCGAGCACACCAACCATCTGTGGGTCTGTGGGCACTGTTGTTTGGCCAGCAATCGCCAGGGCCTTGGCGGGGTTTAGGGTTTAGGGTTTAGGTGGCGGACTATGACAACTGCGTTTCTACCAGCTCGGACCTGCAGGCCACAGACAGTTGTCTTTATGTCCAAAGGCGCTCCGAAGACGCTGGAGATGTCGCTCATTGACAATTGGTTCAGCTTGCTCCTGGCCACTGAGGGTCCATAACCAAGGTTTATGGTTCAGGGTCAGTCCATGAAGCTAGCATGAAGGAATTAGGTCCAGAAGACCTTCCCAAATATTGTTTTGTGGTTTTGGGCACCTGATTCCGTAATGATAATGTAGATGGACTCTCTGGGATAATATAAAAGCCTGAATCGATACCCTCATGCTATGCTGTAGGGTTTCCTCCTACACCGGTTTTAAAACCTATCAACCCTACACATTACCTACAGTCTCCGTTGTAGTTCCTTCTTACGGGTTATTTTATTAAGGGCCGTAAACATAATATTGATCAAGCCGCACAGGAACTACCTTGGAGACTATAGGTACAAGGCCACAGACTCAGGGTTGGGAGTTCAACCCTAAACCCTAAACCCAGAAGCGTCGGTCGGCGCCGAAATCAGGAGGAGCCGTCGGCGCCCGCTGCCGCAGAGGAGGCTCCTCCGGAAAAAGCATCTGCACCTGCCGAGACACTCGGCTCGATTGTCCTAAACCGCCTAAACCCTGAACCATAAGCCCTAAACCATAAGCCCGGAAACCCTACATCCATGCCCCTGTAAGGTGCCCAGGTTTGAAATATTATGGGTGGTATACATTGTTACGCACGGCAAGAGGGTCTTGTAATCCCTACACCCGATAAGTTGCATACTCCCGAAACCCTATAAGCCCTTCACGGTCCCGAACCCTTAAACCCGCCCTGTAAGCCCCTGAACCCTATAAGCTCTCTAAATCCTAAACAGTGTCAGCCTATCACAAACCCTAAACCCTAAAAGCCCGAAACCCTATAAACCCCAAATTCAAGCCCCACCTCCCAAACAACACAAAACCTAAACCCCTAAACCCTCAAACCTACAACAACAGAGTACCTAAACCCCCGAACCCTAAACCCTAAAACCTGAGCTCCTTTTTTTTGGCTGGGAGAAAAGGATCTCAAAAAAAACTACAACTAAAGGAGCTTCGGGAGTCTCTTGCCGGCGGAGATTGAGGGCTTGTACTTGTAGAGGTAAGATGGCTTTTGGGATTACTTAGGGGTACTTAGAAATAATTTTTAATTATTGGTTATTATAATCCCTAAGAAAAAGCTAAAACTATAATTTTTGCTAGGGTTCTAAGTTCAGTATAGTTTAGGTTTATACCCTAACGCTCCTGTACCCTCGTAGTCAGATCTCCAACGTTATCTTCAAAAGCCCAAACAATCGCCCACAAAGCCCATGACCCTCTTAGGAGCCTTAGGGTAGCCTTTTAGGACTCTTGGGGGCTGGGGGAGAACGAAGCCTGGGGCCGAGTCGGAGGGGTGTCGCGCCTGAAGCTTTGAAAGCAATGCCCGTCTTAGCAGCTGAGTGGATGCGCTTTACACTTTTGGGGACAATATTACCCACGATGAAAGTAAAAGTGTACACGTTTGGGGGGCTTATGAACTCAGCAACTAAGCCGTGCCTAAACTCGTTAGGATTTAGGCTAATAGGGTTTAGGATGAAGACACCCGTCATGCCTGCCTGCAGCTCCGACATAGACGAGTGCTCGTGGACTCTCGGGCCAGTTTTAGGCGCAAGAACTCCCGGGGGCGCTGTAAGCTTAAAGCTTACGGGTCTTCGTCCTTAATCCCGTATGAAGCCCTCATGAAATGCGCAAGGCTCTTTGAGCTCGCCCAGTCCCCTCTCAATCGCATCTGCCTTAGAAAACTTACACAACACCACAGCGCAGCGAATGTCTGAGGGCTAGCGGCGAGTCCCCGATCCGGACGAGAAGCAGATACCTGGCCGAGAAAGTGAATGCAGGCAAGGCTGTCGCGGTGTGTAATGTGTCGAGCAACTCTAGTATATAGCGCTTAGTAACTTCTGCGAGATAGAGGTGCAGAAGAATCAAGCAGAACTCTACAAGCACCGTAAGGTAGGCTTGTGCGTGCGTTCAGCCGGTTTAGGTCGGGCGGGGTTTAGAATTTCGTGAAAATGCAGTGTTCATCGACCGAGGTTTCGCTCAGGGGGTTGGGGTGTGGCTTTATGGCTATAGTGTCTATAAGAGTTGTGTAGATAAGTTATTTCGAGTCTGACAAGTGTTAGCCTTATCAGCTATAGATCTAGTCAGCCCCAACAGCAAATCCAAATCATCAAATCCCGCATCCCGAAACAATCCGGTTGGAGCCAGGAAATCCAAACACCAATAATGAACCTGAGCTTTATAGGCCCAACCATGGTATTTTTCATGATGCCAAGCGATGGCCCAAGCAACTTTAAAAACTTAGATAAGGACAGTAAAACACACTGAACCCTCAAATCCGAAGCCTTCATGCCCCAATGCGCCAAAATCCGGCACCCCACGAGTCCATGGTGGAACCTCGGCAGGTGACAAGGAGGCTGTTAGGCACTATCTTCTGAACGAGCCCGTGGACGACATGTGGAACATCCAGCTGGACCTAGAGGACCCCCGCACCCCTCCCCCCACGGTTTAGGGTTTAGGGTTTAGGGTTTAGGGTATTCCAAGATTAAGGTTTCATCCTAAACCCTAAGCCCTACCTAAAGTCCATTGTAGTTCCTTTTTTTGGTTAACCGGTTGTATAGGATCCTATAATAGAGTTTTGGTTAACAAAAACAGAACTACAAGGGAGACTATAGGTCAGGCTTATTTCCAAACCCTTAGGTGCCCAACATCCGAAACCTCAAACCTCCCTCTACGGCTGAAGCGATTCATGACGAAGGTTCCGGCTTCAACCTGAGACAGGGCTCATTTTGATGCTTAAACAGTTACCAATATGTTCTTGAGGGTTCCTTATTCTAAGTATGCTACAAAGGGCTCCCAAACCCTATTCTAATCATATGAAGGCCCCTACATTGACTGTCTGACTTTCCTTTTCGTCTTATCATGGGATGCAAAACCTGTAGCATGGAGGCTTAGGGTTTAGGTCACTTCGCAGGGTTTTTTGACGCGTGGGCCAAGAGTTAACACCCCTGTCCTCGGGAGATGTCAGGATCTTGCCGAAGCTCCCTTGAACTCAGGGTGTCCGGAGGAGTCCGGAGTAGGAGACCCAAGCCCTCAACCAACCGTCATACGGCTGATGATATAAATCCTGCATGACCCATAATAAGGAATATACCATAATCCCCATAGCTTAGGGTCCTTAAGGCGATGCAGGATTTATGTCATCAACCGTAGTGTAAGAGCTCCGCAATTTCGATCGTGCAACTTGCCAAGTTGCAGGGAAAGCTTTGCAGAAAATGAGGAATTACTGTAAGCAATCTTGTTTGCATATGGTGGATGTGGCCGAAGAGAGGAAACATCGTCTAGTACTCGTGACGTGATGGAGGCCCCTATTAACCTGTGTCAATCATGAGTGAGAGAAGATCCGACAGACGAAACTCGTAGAAATCGGACAAGTTCGGGGCTTATGGCGCGGCCCCCATCCTCAGTCCACGTACTGTGAGGCTTCTTGAAGCCTGAGGCCTGAGGCCTGCAACCCTAAAGCCCGCACCCGAAAGCCCAAACCCCAATCCCCAAAACCGCAACCCTAGACCAACAAGAATGTAAACCTCGGACCCCCAAACCCGCAGCCACAAACCAACACGACAAACTCCGGCAGGACCAGAAACTCCCATGGTCCTCAACTGGAGGGTTCAGGGTTTAGGGTTTAGGGCATGTGAAACTCGGAAACCCTAGCTGCTGTAGGCATATGCAAGGAAGTCATGCATGGAGTTTTGTTAGGTTAGGAGGGTAAGATTATTTTTCGGGCCGATGCGAACATGAGGAGTGGCAGACGAAGGCAGAGCAAAAAGCGCTTGACAAGGCCTTCAACAAGCTCATTCCTGGCAAGGACAACTTGTGAAGTGGTTTAGGGTCTACGGAAAGCCCTGCAAAAAAAAGCACGCACAAGCCGAATCAGTTTGACACGTGAACCTGTCAAGCCAAAGCCAAAGAATCCTAAACCTTAGTTTACCGAGTAGCCTCAACCTCCACTTCAAAATTCAATCCTGCACGGCTCCAATCCAGGCAGTTTCCTTCTTTGCCACACTTCTATTCTATTGAAACCCTACACCCTAAACCCTAAACCGTTTCGCAGTCGCACTTCAATTGAACCCTTGATTTCACGAGAAGTGGAGGGCTCCGGGGGCTGAGGCTCTGGGATTGAAAACAGATCCCCAGAGGGTCCAAGTACTCCCTATTATAAGACTTTAGGGCCTTTTTAGGTATCAAAAACCATAAATAAGAGCTACTTGGACCCTTAGGGAGACCTATGGTGGCGATGGTTGTTGTGATAGAAAAGGGCTCAGGGAATTCAGATGCTTGGCTGCTTCCTGCCATGCTTGTGCTTCTTTTGACAGGGTATAGAGTGCAGCATTCAGAGTTTGGGCGTGATGAAAGCTGACGCTTCCGGTGCGTTAACCCCAAACCCTAAACCCTAAGCCCTAAGCCCTTAAACCCTAAACCCTAAACCCTAAGCCTTTAACCCTAAACCCTAAGCCCTTAACCCTAAACCCTAAACCCTAAGCCTTTAACCCTAAACCCTAAACCCTAAGCCTTTAACCCTAAACCCTAAACCCTAAGCCCTTAACCCTAAACCCTAAACCCTAAGCCTTTAACCCTAAACCCTAAACCCTAAGCCCTTAACCCTAAACCCTAAGCCTTCAACCCTAAGCCCTAAACCCTAAGCCTTTAACCCTAAACCCTAACCCTAAGCCCTTAACCCTAAACCCTAAACCCTAAGCCCTTAACCCTAAACCCTAAGCCTTTAACCCTAAACCCTAAACCCTAAGCCTTTAACCCTAAACCCTAAACCCTAAGCCCTTAACCCTAAACCCTAAGCCTTTAACCCTAGACCCTAAACCCTAAGCCCTTAACCCTAAACCCTAAGCCTTTAACCCTAAACCCTAAACCCTAAGCCTTTAACCCTAAAGCCTAAACCCTAAGCCCTTAACCCTAAACCCTAAGCCCATTAACCCTAAACCCTAAACCCTAAGCCCTTAACCCTAAACCCTAAGCCTTTAACCCTAAACCCTAAACCCTCAGCCACCCTAATGAAAGTCTATGAAGAGACCCCCATCGTGGAGCCGAGAGGTGAGGTTTAGTACGTAAATGGGTACCCAGAGACTCCAATATCCCTTAATTAAGGAATATACCTAGATTATATTAGGGATCCTACTATAGTTTAAGGTATATTCCTTAATTTAGGGATATTGGAGTCTCTGGGTAGTTCTGTAAAAGAGGGTCCCTGTTCTAGGCCCCCAAAGCGGTACATCACCTTTGCTGCTCGCTTCCGGCTTGCCTGGGTTCGGATTCCTTACTTACTCATTATGTACTGATCGAGGTATGGCTAATCAAAACGACTGTTCCCTCATAGTCCCTATGTACAGCACGATGTACACCTTGTTGCTATTCCCAGTGTTGTAATCAGCAAGGCTTGTTTTTTCTACTAGATTGACGACACCGAGACACTTCAACCAGCAAGCGCATGACTCCACAATCTTGCCTCCGCTTCAGCTGCTTCCGGTACCTGAAGTACCCAGAAACTCCAATATCCCTGAATTAAGGAATATACCTTGAATTATAGTAGGATCCCTAATATAATTTAGGGTATATTCCTTAATCAAGGGATATTGGAGTCTCTGGGTACTTCAGGCACTCAGATGCTCCAAAACCCGTATAGGTAGAGTGTCACCGAAGCCCTAAACTCCTAAAGACCTATGTCCCCGAATCCTAAATCCTAAATCCCAACCCTAAATGGGTTTCAAGGGTTCCGGATTTCAGGGTAACGGGTGGACCTACAATGTTCTCGAGTGTAGTTGCTCGATGGTGTCATGTGCCCTGTGATTTGGCCAAGGAATGAAGTCACCGAAACAAGCAACTACAGGCGTAGTTGATCTCATACATCCCATGGTTTACCAACCTATCCGCAATCATAGCGCAACTTAAGCCAAGCCTATTCCCCAGAAAATTGCTTTTATGGCTATGTGTGGGGCTTCTCACTAAATCTCATCAAGTCTAAACCTTTAGTCCTAACCCCAAACCCTAAATATTTGAGTTCTAAACCTTAATTCCTAAACCCTCAATCCAAAATCCCTAAGCCCGAAACCCTAACCTGCAGGAGCTTGCCGCCATCTTACGGGTCCTAAATCCTAAACCCTAAACTGCAGGAGTTCGCCGCCATCTTACGGGAGCGCCCGGAGTTGAAAACCTTTGTCCAGCGCATGATCAAGAGGGAGATGGAGAAGAAGCTCCTTGAGTGCAAGACAGGGATATCGGAGTCTCTGGGAAGCACCTCCGATCTCTGGGGTTCAGGGTTTAAGAATGGGTTTAGGGGCTCAGGGTTTAGGGTTTAGAGTTTAAGGTTTATAGGGTTTAGCGTTTAGGGTTTAGGGGTTCAGGGTTGAAGAATCTGTCAGGTTGTTCGGGTTTATGTGAACACCGAATAGCCAACCTTAAACTTTCGAGGACTGGCACCAAGAAACCCCAATAAGCAATCCTAAAGGTAGGCTTCAGAGGGTCTGGGTAGGGTCAAAGGATGTTTATTGGGGCGTAGAGGCATAGAGTGGCGTGCAAATAAATTCAAGGTGCTCGAGCTACTAGCAAACCGAAAAGATACAATTACCCATACTTTGGCCTGTAGGCTGACCTACCAGAAGCTTGATTGTTGTACGGTCCCGAGAAATCCATGGTGGGTGTACAGTAATAGTTCACAAAAATTTTATTCTGGTGGATTAAGGTATGGGAATGAAGAGTCTTAAAATGTGATATAGGAGTCGGAATAGTTCGTAATAGCAGTACAAAAAAATAGTCTTCATATGGTAATTACGGTGATTTTGAGAGACCCCCCCCAAATCCTACTACGATTATTCACCCCAAGGGTCCAATGGACCCAGTAATTAGGTACTCGGTTTTAGGATAGTAGTTATGTAGGTTAGGATTTTGGAGAGTGTATGATTATTTGGTGTTTGGACCCTGGGGTTACCACTGTATATAGGTTGTAGTTATGTTTGTAGGTTCCTATTATAAACCCGATCATGGAATTCATAGGGGCCGTACTTTTTGTAGGTTTTGGTAGGTTCAGGTATTACGATTATCAAGGCCCCTCCATGAACTACACACCGAAGATTCCCGGTTCGGGAACCTCCACCGGCCGCCCCGAAGATAGAGGCCGCTTTTAAGGGTTCCTTTAAGGGCTCCCACCAGGCGCTTCTATAACCCAAAGGGCCCAAAGTACCCATATAGTAGAATGTAGGGTTTCTATATTCGGAGTTAAACATATGATTTGGGTAAGGGTTCCTATAAAGGAATGAAGCAGTGGGGCTCCCATGATTGCAGGGTTTGGGGGTTTGTGGTTTTAGATTTCGGGGTTTGCCTAAACCCTAAGCCCTGAACCCTAAACAGATGCGGTTTTGGGTTAGGAGTTCTTGGACGCGAACTCGAGGATCGATGGTCTCATAGGGTGCGTGGAGTCTCTACCCTAAGGCTCCATATTACCTTATAGAACTCTAGATATAAACCCCCAAAAGGAACCACTATGGAGCCTCTATTTAGGGATCAGAGTGGCCATAATTCTTGAAGCATTCACCTGCCGAGGATTGCCTCCTTCACCGGCCGCAAGAAGAAATGAACCGGAGTACCAGGCGCCTAGGATGCGAGGCTCCGTCTAGCATTCCCGGAATGGGATGCCGGGGTCTCTTCAACGCTAAAGCCTACCCAACCCGTAAGTAAAGCTGAAACCTACAGACCTATGTAAGCCCAAGTACTTCACGCCGGCATAGGATTCATGTAAGGGTCCATGTGTCAATATGTACATATACTTCGTCCCTGAAAACCGAATACCTAAACCCTAGTGGCAGCCTTCTACAAGACCCTTATAAGGTATAACTTCTTTAGAACCCCTTATAGATGAGCAGAAGCCCAATCTGCGCAGGTCTAGTCAAAGTCTACCCTTTCATAAGAATGGCCTAGGGTTTAAAGGATTTAGGGTTGAGAGTTTGCTTTAGTATTCGGAGTTTAAGGTTTAAAGGTTTCAGCATAGGGATCAAGCGCTATAAGTCTTAAGCTGTAATGGGAATCCGAACGGTATGCTCTACCCGTAATCTCAAAGCCTCACCGCTAAACCTTGAACGACAAAGGTATGGTCTACCCTACACAAACCTTATAAACCCTAGGGTCCAAGTACCTAATAATCATATACTCTCCAAAATCCTAACCAACATAACTACTATCCTAAAACCGAGTATCTAATTATTGGGTCCTTTGGACCCTTGGGGTTATAAGCCCTAGGAAGAACAATCAAGGCGAGGTTTCCGGAGAAGTCGGTTTAGGGTTCAGGGGTTCCCAGACTCCCAAACCTTGCAAAAAGACCTTGATGAAGGAATATATGCTTCAAAACGCAAGAGGATCTTCAGTTATGCTTGAAGGTATATTCCTGCACTAATCAGGGTTTTGGGGAGGTCTGGGGTTCTCCGGCCCTGGTGCTGGGTTTGAGTGGATTTTAGGATTTTAGGTGAGGCGCAGGCTTCTGCGGGCCAAGGCTCATACTTGAGGCTTAAATAAGTAATAAGTATCCATCCTATTCCCGACTTGTCCGGACATTCTCGCATTTCTCGCATTTCGGGCATAGACTCCATGTTGGTTGCAGCCCTTTGAGCTTGCATTAATTAGAGCGGAGTGAAACGTTGGAGCAATTGAAGGGCTGCCGGATGTGCAATGACGTGTGTGCCAGTCCGATGGTGACGAAGCACACCGGGCAGTGCGGAGATCGCCTGCAAGTCGAGTTCAGCCGACTCATATCCAATGAGAAGGCAGGCAACACCCAGTAACGAGAGACGGAGAAAGAATCGTGTCAAATCGCCAGCAAAGACGGCAGCAGTGCGCATGTCTTGTTGCGTGTGCGACTTGGACCAGGAGTGGTCAGGCATACCAAGGGTCGGGAGACCCCTGGTGTCAAGAACAAAAGCAACTCCATCAAACGGCCCTTCAAAGAAAGCGAGAGGAACACCCTGTCGTCGCCATCGGCTGAGTTAGGACATGTCTGGCCATCCCGTCTAACCCATATCACCGTAGTATTTGGATCCAGCGGATCTGGCGGCCGAACACGAACAGGAGCCGAATCGAGCATGCTCAAGACCTTGTCGGAGTCTCGAAGCGAGTTGGCAAGAATCGGTTGGTCAGAGGCGTGCGGGATGAGCCATTGGATCAAGTCGGCCGCCCCTAACCAGTCGGCAAACTCACGTAGCCGACGGTGCCCATTAGCAGTAGCAAGCATGCGCTGCCAAGCGACCACAGTAGCACGGAGCCGATCGGTGGGCGCGCAGACACACGAGAACGCTGTGCGGATCCGTTGCCAGAGGTCCAATGTCAGTGGCGTTCGCAACCTCTCCATCGAAGTCCAAGAGCTGGAGACATTCCCAGATTTCAGCGACAGGGCACATGTCGAGCATGTCCGTTGACACTCCCGGGAAGCTGAGGCACGGCCCTTCGGCAGGCAACGCTGGGCATAATCCAGCATGAATGTCGTCGTTCTTGCGACTGCCGACACCTGGCACAACCGTGCACGAGTGTCCACTGGCAAGCAGGCGTGTTCTGCAAGACGCGCTGTAACGCAAATGTCGGCAAAGTCGAACATTGCTGGCGTATGTTCGCAGACACGCCTGGCATTGGTGGCCCGTGAGTACCCCCCTGCCCTGTGCATGTCTGCCATGCGTCTTGAAGGCATGAACAGACCAACACTGGCGGGATTTGAAAATGCGCTGACAGGGTGCACATCCGTGCACGGCATCGGCATGATCCAGTGTTGAGCCATGGAGTAAGGCACCGTGCCGCTTTAACTGGCGGACAAGGAGGGCATGGTGTTGTTGGAGGTCGGCATGCCACGCTTCCTGTTGAACTGTGTGCGCCGCGGCCTTGCGCAACAGGCTTTTCCACCTCCCCGGAGACTCTTTAAGGAGAACAACCCAGTGTCTCCAGGCCGTGATCCAATCACAGTGGTGGGTCCCCTTGTCTACAGCTTCCCAAAGCCAAGAAAGGGAGTCTCGTATCGCAGCCAGCCAGTCACCTTCCCAGTGGGCCAGAGCCCACAGTTGGGGGATGCACAGCCGCACAAAGAGAAGAAGGTGTCTGAGGCGGTGTGCAGTTGTGCCGGGATGGAGAGCAGGCCAACAAAGGACAGCACCTGAGCTCGGCCGGCGTGTAAAGCCGTATCGAAGTCCCATGTGGGTCGACACATGTGGCACGCCATGAGCTCTTGTGCGGAGCTGATTGCTGACAGGGTCTTGGGACTGGGCGAGGGCCAGGTACCTGCCCCGTGCAGCAGCACTGACACAACCAGGGAGTTTTAGAGACTGGCCTTGGCAGTTGTCGGCACGGCTGGGGAGCCGAACACTTGCCTTTTTCTCTTCTGGAAAGCATCATTGGCCTGGGCGACCCTGGCACGAACCTCACGGGAAAGGTCGCCTGCACAGTGAAGCACCCCGCCCAGGTGCTTGTAGCTGGTAACGAGGCGCACTTTGGCCTCCGGCCAGAGTGTAGCTGGAATGTGCAAGACCGGCTCCTTGTCCCTGAAGAGTGAAGCCCTAACCTTCTGTGAACCCTTACCCATGGGCACGAGGATCATCTCAGTCTTCCCCCGCGCCAAGTTAGGGAGCATGGCCCTCGATAGGCAGGCGTCCAGCAACACACTGGTGGCAGTGCGTGCTCTCTCGACGATGCCTGTCGCCGAGTCAGACAAGAGCATAAGCGCAAGATCGTCCATCCAGGTAGCATCCGTCAGGTCGACGGATGTGACAGACTCGCCTGCCTGGACCTGTTCGACGAAGATACTGTCATGCCTGGAGGCCGCTGAGGGAAGTTGTGTGCAGCAGCCCTTGCTCGTGAGTTCTCGCGTCAGCTCGGCTAGGACTTGCGAGAAAAGAAACGAAAATATGACGTCTGCACAGTTATCCCCCGGACGGCTTCCTATGCCCGTCCGAACTAGCGTTTGTCCAGATCTAAATCTGAACCAAGTGGCATCAAGGATTTCGGTCATTGAGGCTGCGAGCCACGGCGATGTGCCGCAATCAGCAAAAATGGACCGTTCTTGCAGATGTTTATGCAATGTATGCATAACTCCCTGCGGGAGTTTTACAGTCGCTGCAATTTGCGCGACTGTGGTGTCATCGACCGATGTGCCTGTCAGCAGCGGACGGCATACACGATAGAACGCTTCCTGGAGGTCGAGAAACAGGACAGCAAAGGAGGTCTTGTGCTTTCTAGCTGCAGTGATGAACATCCGAACTGCGTGGGAGACTGCTGTCACTGGGCAGGCAGGCAACCCGCCCAGTTGCAAAGGAGATGCAACTGAAGCAAGCGAAGGCACACATCTAGCTCTGAAGAGTCGATGAAAGGCCTTGCCCGCGGTGGCGGAGATGAGCAGTCCTCGATGCGAAGAACAGAGTGCTGGTGAGCCTTTTCCCTTCCATGCAGCCTGCAGACTCCCTCCTTTGAACTGGATCGGTTCCGCGAGTCTGAGGCTCGTCTTGAGCAAGATGGGATACAGTGCAGACGAGGCCTCAGCAGCAGCGAAGTGGAGGGCTTCGCCCGGCACAAGGTCCAGGCCAGCAGCACGACCTGAGGCGGTATCCCGAAGAGCTTGCTCAAGCTCGATGCGAGTCGGCAGTTCGAGTCTGTTGAGTTCGATGGAATCGAGCTCCCGTTTCAGTTGATTCTGGATGCAACTGGCAGCGAGTTCTTGAGGCGTGACGCGCAGTCCATCCTCAATCCCAGCAAAGTGGTTGATCCAGGCATCCTCGACCTCCTCAGGGGTGGTCGCGGGGAGCCCATCAGGGCGGAGGACAAGGGGGAGGCCATTGCGAGTCTTGGCACGGCGCTTGGGTGGCCCAAGGATGGGCTTCAAGCGGCGAACAGCCTCCGCAGTAGGGCAACTGGAGGCGGACTCAGCCGTCGCGACAATGTGCCGGACAGTGTCTTGCCTGATGGACTGTCGGAAAATCCGCTTCGTGTTCCGGAGTTGCGAGGCGAATTCCCGCAGCCTTCGCTGTTGTTGCATGGCAGTGAAGATTGAGGAAATGTTGCAAACAGACAATCGGAGGCTTCGTCTCCAAGCACGCAGCGGGGCCCATTTGGCTAAGTGGCAGACACTATGTCACGGACCCGTACAACCTGGCGGCGGAGCCATACCCTACGTTGCCTCAGTTGCCAAGTGTGTTCTCCGAAATGAGATGACCTGCAATGGCCTCTTCGGCTGGGGAAGGTCTCAGCTAGGGCACGGTGTAAATAGCGCTCTAGCTGTGCCCAATGCCTGTGCACACTCACCTGCCACGGAACTTGGGGCGCCGCCCGCCAGATGGCAGCGAGCGCCTCCTGTCCTTGCTTGGTGCCCATCGCTTCCCGGTCTGCCTGGAATCCGGGCCGGGTCGGCCGCTGTACTGCCCCTGTATACGTACAGGCGTCGAGCTGAGGCGCAAAGTGGTCGGTGTGTCCCTGCCCCCAGTCAAGTTCGTGCTGCACACAAGAGGCTCCCGGCGCAACTCGCCACGAAACCGGAAGCAAAATGTAGTCGATGCGGGATGATGCTGTGCCATTGGGGGCGACCCAAGTGGTGGAAGAGCCGGTGTGCACTTCAGGAAAAGTAGACGGGATCCACAAGTCCTGTGAATGCAGGATGCGAAGAAGGCCGTCTGGTATGCCCCCTTGCCCCGGGATGGTGAGAGAGCCGGCTCTGTGTGGGATGGATTGGGCGAAGTGGGTGTTGAGGTCACCCATGAGTACCACTTCATGGGTTTGTCCGAACTGCTGGAGCCGGTCATAGAGGGTGGCCCACCACGTCTCTCGCTGGGAGTCACCAGTGGTGGGGGCATGGACACAGGCGAACAAAACCTTGACCCCGCCCCTGGAGAACCTGACAAAGAGTGTCCTGGGGTCAGAAAAGGGAACCAGGAAATCATTGGGATGGAAGAAAAGGTTAGCTGCACGATCCTCAGAGAATGGCAAAAGACGGCTGAACCAGCATTCTACACCGTAGTTGCCTGCAGCATCTTTGCCAGAACAGAATCTCAGATGCGTGTAAGAGGTGACTGTCTCTGAAGCCGCAGCCCTCGTTTCCTGAAGGCACGCAACATGGACCCCCAAGTCGTCAATCTGCTCCCGCAAAAAGGCTGCACGACCTTTGAAGCCAGCCTGTGCTGAGGTCGACTCATTCGCCTCAGCGAGTGTCTGGACATTGACTGTGAGGAGGCGGAGAGATAAGACCCGGGTGTCCCGGACTGAGCTCTGGGCAACATCATCCCTAAATCCAAACCAGTGTCTAGCCTCCGCTTCCGTGGGGAGGGAGTCGTCGGTGAATCGGTCTCGATCCGCGATGGATGAGCCCACAGCAGTAGGCCAGAGGCTGGGCAGCCGGGCAATATTGTGAATCAGCCACCACCATTGCGCGGTGCCGTCTCTGATAGCCTGGGCTGCACGGAGCTGCGTCGTAGAGAGTGTAGCTGGCGTGGTCCTCTTGAGAAAGTGCTTGGCTATGGAGTCGGCAAGCTCGTTGCATGGGTGTCCTTGGTGGGACCGCACGTGGTGGATCTTACCGCTGAAGGCTGCTTGGACGGAGCAGAGGAGTTGTTGCAGGGCTCTGGCTGCCGACGCCAGCCCTTCCGTGGGTTGGAAGCTCCAAATGCCATTTGCCTGCTGAAGGGCGACTAGGCAGTCCGAGTGGAGCTCTAGGCCAACGCTTTTGGGTGCTTGCACACTCCAGAGCAGGGCCCAGACAAGGGCAGAGTATTCCCCCGCAATCGCAGAGTGGCCTGTCGCTCCTGTGTAATCTTGACATTGGGCATCTGTCTGTGTGAACCCGGCATGCCATCCTATAAAGTAAGGCTGGGAGTCGAGCCACCCGAATACAACAAAGGCCCAGGCACTATCCTTGCCATCGAAAGATCCATCCGTATGCGCATCAAGATACTCCATAGGGCCAACGTCAGCGAGGGGCCTTCCTTTGAGGTTGTCATTGCACAGTGCCAACAGCTGTGCTGTTGCCGAGTGTAGCGAGAGGTGGTGGGGAAGGGAGTGTTGAAGCAGGAAGCATCCATGCGCACAAACTTGCATGACGTTGTCAATATGGCAATTCAAGTCAACGGAGATCCCTGTGAGATCAAAGCAGCGGCTGGCCGGCAGGGAAGAGGCAAGATCGATCACCACCCCTGTCCGGCATGTGGTAGGATCCTCAATGCTCCTGTCCGTGGCACTGGGCACACTGTCTTGTCGAGTATTCGGGTGTCTAGGCTGGCTAACTCCCGCGGAGTGTTCCTGGAGTGTCTCAAGGAGGGTGCAGGTGAGAAACATGGCTTGATTATCTCCCATCTGCAAGCTTTGCTGTGCTCAAGGAGAGTTTGCAGGGGGCCATCAACGATAAGATCGGCCGGACATGCTCCATTGGCAGGCGGTAGGCGAAACGACCTGCATGGCGTGGGGGCTGGACGATGTAGGCGATACCGGTGTTGGCTGGCATCAATGACATCACAGGTCGGCACGCAGGCTTGGTTTTGGCCGCTGCCGGTATGCGTCCATGCATGACGCTGTGCGCCGGGGTGGCCCGGGTCCAAAAGAATGTCATGTCCGACGGCAACAACCGGAGTACAAATCCAAGCAAGAAGGACGACAAAGGTGAGGCCGTTGCGCTGTTGCGAGGTACCAACAAATCCGCTCACAATGATGGCAGTGGGGCAAAGAGGATGCCTCGGCTCCCCAAGCATGCTGCAAGCAAAAAGGAACGCGAAAGCAACAGCAACAGCTTTCCATGACCAGCACCAACAAGGGATTGCCCGTTGCAAGCGGTGTGTCCGATTTGATTTCGTCCTTGGCCCGATTACAAGGTTGTGGGGGCATGACAGAATCTGGTGTCTGCGCTGGGAGCCTCCCGTCCCTGCGTCTGGGCCAGTCGATGGTGTATCCGAGGGTGCAACTTGCGATGCATCACGGTCACTAGGGTGGGAGGAGGACTCCTCTGGATCTCCATCCTGTCCCTCACCCGCTTGTGATGGAGGCGGAGAATCCCCATCATGGCTGTCCGAACTGGACATGTCAGCCGGCGGCGGAATGAAGAAGTGCAGGGTGAGCAAGTCCCCCTCATGGACACAAAGTGGCTCGCTTAGCCTATGGACGTCACTCCCACCACTAGAGTAACCAATGACATAACCCGCGGGAGCCCTTGGCAGCAGTCTGTCCAAGATGGGTTGAGCTGGCAACACACCTGCAGGCGCATAATACCAAGAGAATCCAAGTAAGAGAGGCCTTAAGTCGACCAGACAAATCGGAATCCGCCCGTCACGTGAGACGGTGTGCGGTGCCGAAGCGGTCGATCAGCGGCGGGTTGGCCGGGCACAGACGAAGTGTGTGTGGCGCTGTCACGAGCAGTATAGCAAGGTCTTGTCTGAAGTGCCTTCGTCGAACAGGCGCTATGGTGAAACAGATTTGTCTGTCGTCTGCTAGGACCCTGGCTCGCTCAGCATAGTCTCCGGGAGGTGTCCACTCGGGGTCCCACCCGTGTGGGTTGCGATTAAGCCTAGCTGCAAAATCGGAAACGAACGAAGCCTCAGTACCTGCAGGGACAATCTGTACTAAGTCCCCATGATCAAGATGGATAGGGTATGTGTCCGGGATTGGCCAGGGCATGGTGCGGACAAAGACATCAAAGTTGACATCAACATCAACTTCGGCAGCAATGAGGAGCGTACTGCGGGTGACAGTACGCGGCAGTTCAAGACAGAAGACAGCACCGTCAATCTTGCTACAATCGTACATGATGAGGGCTCCCTCCGGCTCCCATGACGGACGGGCGATGAAAAGTGCTGCTTGCTGCCATGGTTGTGGGTAAACCGGGCATATGACCGGAAATCTGTCTATGTCGGCTGGCCTGCGTGCCGCATTGACAAGGCTTGTGGCCTCAGGCTCAGTGCATCCTACTGAAGTCCGTACCTGTAGCCACTCCGGCAGACACTCCTGTCCGAAAATGAAGAAGGAGCCATCGATGAAGGCTTGTCTCTGGCCTTCAGCTGTTTGGTGTGCAACGTCAGGGGGCCCGCTGTTGCCACCAGTTCCCTCGTCTCCTTCTCTGTTCGGATTAGTTGGCGGGGTGTTGCCGCTGGGGGCAGCTCGGTCCTGTCCAACAGCCCCTGTGGGGGTGCTTGTGTTGGGCTGGCCTGTACATAGGGTACCTGAGGGTCCTCCGGCCTTTCAACATGTTTGGCAAGCTGTCCCTGACGAAGCAGAGCAGCATCCCAGATGGGTGCAGCGTGGCCAATATGCAGAGTGACGGAGAGCTCTTCAGTAATGGCAGCACGTGAGGACCTGTGCGGAGATCGACTGCGGCGGGTCTCCCTGTGGCCCGTTGAGGCGTCTTCAGATGGACGGCTGCCAGGTGGGTGCAAATCATTCTCTTGGACAGACATATCTTCGTCGTCGGTGAAAGCCTCGCTCTCATGACCCTCCTCCGTGGGTGGAGGCCTCGCGGAGGGTTCAGGTGTGGGAACGTAGGAGGCATATATGACTTGTCCTGGCTCTACTCTGCATGCATCAGCACCTGCAGGCAACCACTCAAGGTGGAGATCCCAGCCCGTAGGCATGAAGGTAACAAGTTCTATGTCACTTCTCAGGCAGTGACCATCCCCAGCAATGACGGCGAGCCAGCCTTGGAAGATGGCTCTGCAGTCTACCAACGCAAAAGCAGCCTGTGCCCCTGACGCCTCGTGCATCTGTTCATCTATTTCCCCAATGATCCAGGCGTTGTGGCACATATATCCATGCACTGCAATGTCTGTGATCGCTGGCACAGCTGGCTGGACCTGTAGAGTTGTCGGCTGCAGGCCGAACAGACGTGCAAGCTCGTCTCTGTCGAAGAGATCAGGGGAAGCCCCTACCTGGCATCTGCGGTGGCCTCCCTGTCCAACGAAGCAGAAGCAGCCTTCGATGGGGCCTATGGGGATGGCAGGATTGTCGGCCCACAGGGCCGAATCAAGCAGCGTATTTGCAAGATCGAAGTATGGTCCAGGGAGGACATACCTTGGGACGACAAACAGGCAAAGGCCGATGCGAAGCGGGATTTCCTCCTCATTGGCAGGAACATGGTTAGAGCCAACATAGAGGTCAGCGCGAGTGGAGTCAAGTTCGCACATCTGGAGCAGCGTAGTCTTGGTGGCTGTCAGTGGTGCAACTGCGGTGAAGAGGCGACCATCAAATTCCATAAGGTCGAAGACAACACAGACATCATGCTGGACCCACCCCGGAACTGCGACAAGCACTCCAAAGTCTTGGCTCGGTTGAGGATCACAGAGATGTAGGGTCGGAAAAAGGCGTGCATGGACTGGATCCCTGGTATTTTGCACAGCCGCGATTGCTTGGTGAATCTCTGCCGGAGAGGTCAAAGTGACTGTGACAGACTCCGGTGTGTAGTCGACCTTCAACAGAAAAATTGTGAAGTCGCACTCACCCTCCTCAACGATTGTGTCAGTTTCCTCGTCCCCCTCGTTCTCCGATTGTGGTGCAAACGGGTCGTCTGCCGCGAGGTAGGGCCAAGGGCCACCTTGCTCCTCAACGAAGGCTCTGGCGTGGTCAATGCGGGCACGATCGTGAATTGTGAGGGAGGTCGGTTCTTGCAGGAGCTTAAAACCGAAGGCCCAAACATTAGGGTCGACCCAGACGAGGTCAATGTCAAAAGCAAGGTGGGGGTTTACATCAGGGTGGCTCGTCAGGCAGAGCTGGGTGGGTTCGATCTGCCAAGGCTCGCAATGGTGGTGAGCCCGTTGCCTCTGCTGGTAGGCATCCGCGAGGCCTCCTCGATGTTGGCCTGGCTTGGAGTTGCACAGACTACCCGAGCTATGTCTAGACCGGGATCTAGATCTACGCCTATGAATTAGACGCAGTGTGTTATGGGTAGCGCTTGTCCCTCTTGCGACAACCGCGGAGGGCCACATGCGCGCAGCTAGCTCACTGTCAGGCAGATGCTCCTCGTCTTCTGTATCCGAAGGGGCCTGTGCAGGGTCATCTCGGCTGGGCTGTTCAACAGGTCTACTGGGTCTGGTCTGAGAGTAAATGGTGAGGACAGTGTCGCCTTGCACCTGTACCTCATCCTCCCGCACAAGTAGACCTAGTACTGCAAATTGGGAAGCTTCTGCCAGCCGGAAGCCAAACGTGGCTGCGATCGAAGGGAGGTGGAACAGCCTAACGTGCGAATGAACAACCCGAGCGCTATAACCAATGCCCCGAAAGTCACAGAGTGCAAAGACATCCCTGCGACAGTTGTTGGCAGAGGGCAAATGCAAGCGACGAGGAAGTGCAAAGACCCCAACGAAGTGCGAGCAGGTATTGCCACGAAACTCAAGAGAGGGTGAGGGGAAAGCACAGATTGTGCATTGGTCAGGCTGGTAGTCCCACATGGTACGGATCGCCTCGGTCGGCGTCTGTCCGTAGTGGTGGTGCGAGGGCATGAAAACACGTTCATGTCCATGTTGCACGAGCAGACCACTTGCCGGGTACATGCTGGGAACACAGCACGGAGGATGCCAAGACGTCCTATCTGCGAAGAGTTCCTCTGGAAGCTGTTTATTAAGCCAGGGCTGAGTGGGCCACCGACACATGATGACATCGCCGTCATTGAGAAGGAGTGGCGTGTTGGTGGTCCACGGGTTGGGGTCATTACCAACGTGGGTCAAGATATCATGTTCCGAGTATGTCGACTGCTTGGTAACATGATCAATGAAGTCCTCGTATGGGAGGTGACGAGGCAAGAGACACGCGTAGTAATGCCCACCAACATGGCTCAAGTCAAGGATGACCGCGGCATGTGGTTCTCGGGGGTCATTGCATGCAAGCACATGGGCCAGTGATTGTGCCAAGTGCCCTGGCGATGCATCGAACATGAACAAGACTATCTTGGCGCAATCGTGCTGAACGACCTGTCCCGCTGCAAACCAACAGCACAAGAATGGTGCATGTCCAAACACCGAGGAAGCTAAGCGAAAACGCGGTCACTTGTTCCTGTAGTCCTGATGCAGTTAGCGTCCACGCAGTGGAAACAGGTCGAAGGCCCCAAAGAGTGACGAGAGCACCCAAGGCCAAAGGATTCCAGGCAGAGCCTGGGGTGTACCCTCGGATCCATGGCACTTGTGGGGCACGGCTGCCGAGTCTATCAGCGAAATCCAAGACGCCGACAAGGAACTCACTGACATTGAGGCAGCCTGAGCGATGATAGGTGTCTCTTCGGATCCAAGTCAGGCCGAGGCCAAGGCACAAGAAGAGCACCGAGAGCCACCTAGAAAAACCAGAGAACCCAGGGACCCGGGGGGGAGAGGGCCTAAACCGACAGGGGGTTAGTGAAGGGATGCCAAACTGGTGGTTGGTGGACGTCCCAGAGCCACCGATACGTCTCTTCGGCACACAACAACCAGTTGGCAACAACCTTTCAGGCTCTGTGGAAATGAAGAGCCGATGCGGCGGGGGAGTCCGAAGAACAGCAAAAGACCGATGCTGTCTTGGTCCTCGCGAGGAAGATCCAGTAGTCTGGTCTCGCTCAATTGCATAAACCCAAGCAAGAGAGTCCGGCCAGCCTACTGTGGAGGGAGGCAAGTTGAGAATCCAAGAAACCACGGTTCCTTCGGCACCTTCTGCCCCAGAAAAAGGACTCGCCCTTGTCCCCACTTGTGGGTGGACACCTGAGTATATCTCTGTACAGCAGACACGCATACCGCCTTGAGCCGTCCAGGTCCTGATTTCACAGAGTCGATGCTCATCATTGCCACGTGTCATGTCCAACCCGAGGTGCGACGGGGATCCGATGGCTACTCCCAAATGTAGCCGAAAGGATCCAGGGCTCCCCAGGCGACAACAGACATGTGGTTGAGAGGCATGACAACGTGACTCAGAACCGGGACGGTCGTAGATGATGGCCAAGAAGTCTCCCGATGACAAGAACGTCACTCCATATTGGTCAAGCCCGGCGAGCACGGTGCGGATTTGCCTGGTGGGGGCTCGTCGTCGTCGTCGTCTGCAACAACCTCCCTTGGCAATCCCGTAGTAGCCGGTGGTCCTGTCGTATGGATGCCCTCTTGGCCATCCGAAGCACGTTCCACACTCGCAGGTGGCACCTGGCGGAACGGCTGAAGGGCTCGACGCTGTTCTTGTTCTCTCCTCAGGGCGAGCTTCTGTGAAAGCGAGGGGCCTGCAGGTGCTTCTGGGTGTGTCAAACCCTTGCTGGCATCCTTGATAGAGGCTCTGGGTGGCTCCTCGCTCGTCGGCATCCTTGCTTGTGCAGGGTCCCGTTGTCCTGGTCGAAGGGGTATAGCACGACGACCAGATCCTGGAGTAGGGGCTTCCAAGGGCATCTTGTTGGGCAACGGAGAAGCTGGGTATGGCGAGGCTCTCAAGTTGTGGGCCTCCGGAGGTGCTGACGAGTAAGCCGGAGCACCGTCCACGTCCATAGTGCCAGAGTTCTCCGGAGGTCCAGGAGCGAGGGCGGCGCCGGCATGCTCCGACGTAGACACCGTCGGAGCTCCTGTTGGAGGAAACTTCTCCGGAATATGCTCTGAGGAATTTCCTCAGGACCTGTAGTTCCTCCGGTGTAGCTGCCGTCATCAGCTGTGGAGGTCCCGGTCTGCCATCCATGCCAGCCCCATTCGTCTGGGGTGCTTGCTGTGGTGCAGAAGCGGTGTTCTCCGGAATAGTCTGGACAGTACGCTTCCAGTCGCCCAGGGCACTGTCGAGGGTCAGCCCGTCTAGGTTGGATCGGGCCATGACGGCGGCGATCCTGCCCACGTAGTCCTTGGCCACTTCCTGTCCAACATGTGCCTCCCTCAGCTCGCTCTCGAGTCGATCCATGTCGGCGACGTGTCGCGACTTTTCCTCCGCAAAGGAAAGCTGAGCTGCTTTCTCGTAAGCAGCCCATCGGCGGTCTTTTTCTTGGCGTTCTTTGGTGATGCGGCTGACGCGGGCCTCCGCTTTTCGGAGCTGGTTGACAGCGTACTGCATATCCTTCGTCTGGGGATCCTCTGGTGCTGCCGTCAACCTGTGCTGGACAGGATCCGAGATTTCCACCAGGGCCTGTCCTTCCTTCCAGTCCCGATCGTAGGATGGAAAAGGTTTGGCCTTTGCCTTTGCTCTGCTCTTGTCCTGTTCTCTGGCCTGTGGCGAATCGACGGTCCTGTACGATCCTGGCCACAGCGAGTATGAGGACCGAGAGGACCGCGAGGACCTGGGTGCTTCTTCGCGCCATGGTGCGGAATATTTGTTCTTGGCTCCACGTCCCATGCGGCAGAGGTCAAGCAGTCGGTCTTCGAAGCCTTTGCACGTGGCGTGATGACCCAGCAAAGGACGGATGACCTGCTGGGGCAATGATGTTCCCCGCAGTGTCGCAAAATGTGCCCGGCACCGAGCAACAGAGCGCTTACGGCGCGCCCTTCTGTGCCACGGCGGGCTCCCACGCGCAATGGCTGGAACCGGGAAGTCGTGCTCTCACGGCACTGGGGCAAAGCTATCCCGCTGAGGGTGTTCTGAGCCCTTGTCCGGACATATATATATATATATATATATATATATATATATATATATATATATATGTATGTATATTTATGTATGTATATGTATGTGACAAAGCATACTGGACTACGCCCTTAAGACATTCCAAACATTGCTTGTTAAGGCCTCTATATGAATGATAGGGCGATGCAGGACTCAGTTGGGGTTCTTGACTTGAGGTCTACCCATAGGCTCCATAGTAGTTCCTTTTTGGGGATTACCTTATAGGATTCTATATACGAACCCCAAAAAGGAACTACTATGGAGCCTCTGGGTAGGCTTTTTGTTTCTTTAATCAGGGCATTCAGATTTGGAGATCCCTTCGTGGGATGAGCTGTCGAGCTTTGGGCTTATTCATGTGCTCAGCCAGAACAATCGCGTAGCAGTAGAGTAGCTAACCTTTAACCTTTTTTGGGTAGTATAGTCCCTATATTATCCCTATAATTATAACCCAAAAGGTTAACCTTTAGTTCCCCATGATACCCGACAAGTAGGATCGAGAAGGCTAAGGGTTGAGGGCTGCGGGTTCAGGGCTTTGGTGTGGGCCTAATACTTAGATAGTGAACGGGGGAACTTTAAACTTTTTGGCCTTATAATATTAGGCCTATCTTAGAAAGTTTGAACTTTTTGGGGCCCGGTTGTTGAAGAAGAGAGTATATAAAGGCTGTGTCATGAAGGCATGAACCCAAACTAATCCTGCTCTTCGAAGTTTTCTGTGCTCGGGCCAATCCTAATTTTAAGGGCGGTCTTAGGGTTTGGGGTTTAGGGTTTTAGGGTTTGGTAAAGGGTTTAGAGAACTTCAAGATTCCGTCGTGCTTGTCACAGAATCAGAGATGACAGGCACCAACAGTTGCATGTACCCTGAAGGGTGTAACTAGTGGACCATACATCAAGTGTCAAGATCGTCTCCACCGGAGGAGATTTTCGGAACGGGGCCTTTGCACATTGCACAAAGGTTTGAAGTGGCAAAGCCCTTCACGTTAGCCTTTCGACAAAGTGAGTGTGCAGCCAAGCTGCGCACAACCAACCGTATTGCACAGTTTTCTCTCAAACTCCCTCCAGCTCCGCTCAAGCGGGAGTTTCTCGCATGACCACTGTAGTTTCCCAGGAGTTGGGCCCCCAATCCTAGACCGTGAGTTTGCGGCTTGAACTTGAAATTTGAAGCTATGGGAACAATGTGTTGGCGAGGGTTTGGGATTCGGCTGAGATAGCTTGAACTTTTTTGGCGATGTGCTACACTTGTGATGTTATAGTGGGGACTGTAAATGTTGGCAGTTCTATCCAGTTTTACGTTGTAGTGTTCAAGGAGGCTCCTTCTTCCGGGTTAATTGCGGGTTTGCAAGGCACCCTGAACACTGAACCCTAAATTACAGCCACGTACTATCCAACGGTTGTGCTACGAACAGATCGGAAGAGTCATTTGCAGCATTCTCCCCTTATCGTCCCGATAAAACGGCACTAGAGTTATAGTTTCGCCCAACGCCCAAGTCTAGGAATTAAGGCCGCTGCAATACCTTAGGGGTACTTAGAAATAATTTTTAACTTTTGGTTATTCTAATCTCTAAGAAACAGCTAAAATCATAATTTTTGCTAGGGTTCTAAGTTCAGTATAGTTACCTCGATGACACAGATCCTGTCTGGTTCTAGGATTGCCGAGAAACTTCCGCTCCTTTAGTCCGGAAAAGTGCATGAGGCACTTTTCCAACCAGGACGCCGTGTCCAGGTTAGAACAGCCGAGAGGCAGGAGATTGAGGCGTCGTTCAGAGGTTCTGACCTGTACTGGGGCTTCAGTGGCTTAGGGTTGCACGTTCAAGGACGGAAGACATCAGTCGTCCATGGCTTTCGGTGCCCTAGACCCTAAAATCAAAACTTGGCCGAGACCTCGCGGATCAGTTGGAAAAAGGAGCCCCAAAAAAAAAAAATCTAAACTTGGGTTGTAAATTCAGTTTTCCCCTGAGCCTCTCCATTGCAAGGGTCAGTTCCTTCGAGACTTCGTGATGACAGCCTAAGCGGATCAAGGGACTTGATCAGCAGGTTGTAAGCGTGTAAGTGCCATGAACCCAATGTGCGTAACTATAGTAGAAGCATTTACGATCATATGAACAAGAATAAGCCGTGTTCAATTGATGAAGGCCCCGGTATGAACATAGCTTATATTCTTTTTCCGGAGTCCTGTGACCCCTTATCCAGGCAAGAGCCCTCCAATCCTTTGCCACGTCCAAAAAAGCGCCGGGTCTACCACGCACGCACGCGGACTTGATAACATCATTTAGAAAGCATGGGAACATAAGGAACATCGTTTCACTAAGAACTATTCTGGGCCTGGAAAACACTTGTGCATCGTTGTCTTTAGATGCTAGCCTGTAGTCCCTTGTGTGGCCTCCGTAGTGCTGCGATGCTAAGCCGATGCATGCAACTCTTGGTGTAACATAGGGGCCTAAATAACTACCAATACTGTTTTGGGTGGGTTCTTATTATAATTAGAGTATCATGCGCCCAAAAACCCTATTCTAATTAATTATTCAGCCTCCTACATCACTTCCTCGTTTTGGACTTCATCTTCCACAAGAACATCCAAACACCTCATTGCTTTCAATGGACATCCCTCCCATAGCTGCCACAGCTTCGGATTCAACTAGAAAGCCATGAAACCACGAGGCTGCACCTGCAACCCGGAACGAAGGTGCTTCACCTCCAACCCATGATTTGGGTAGCATGATGAGGGAGACCCCTCAAAGGGTACCATAATCATGATGACAGTAGACCAGACCTCCCGCACCCCCTCTTCTGCTTGTTCTTGCCTGTTTTTGTTTCAGAGGGTTTGAAGCACGCTATAAGCGGTCCGAGAATGAGAAACCATCTGACCTGCGAGGATGTAGCTTCCTGCTAGTAGCTACCAAGAGCTTTGAGGCTTAAGGTTTGGGGCTTGGCGTTCATTGCAGGGGTTCACCCATTGGAAAGCTTTGGGGTTTCTGGACCCTAAACCCTAAACCCTCTCTGCTGTTGGTTTTCCATATGTGCGCAAAGTCACGGGAGGGTCGGCAAGCTGGCATGGGCACGCGGGCAATTCTGGGTCCCACCTTCTCGCATAGCTTTAGGGTTTAAGGGTTTAGAGGGCCTAGGGCTTATACCCTAAGGCTCAAAAGAGCCCAAAAGCAATGTAAAAAGAAGCATTGGGCCCGAGAGAAGTTCAATATGAGTCTCAGGGATAGGGCGTTCGTGACTCAGCAGAACTTTTAGCTTTCTGGTGCCATGTTGTCGTCATCTTGAGCAGGGGACCTGTCTCATTGCCCGCAGACCAAGCCGGTGTTGTTTGTGGCCACCGTGGCCTTGTTAGCACGGCTCGAAGATGGAACGTCAAGGTGGTCGAGATGGGCTTGAAAGCTACCTCCCTCTTGCCCGCTCCGTGCCGTTATTCGACACAAGTTTGCAAGTGGAGGCTCGTAGCGATCGCTATTCTGATTGCAAGTCAATTCCCTGCCTGAGGACCTTACCGTATAGTTCAATGACTTACATATTTTTTTCTCTCGGATGGCCGATCGTCGATGATGAGAAATCGGAAAGCATGGAACTGGAGCTAAGCTAACGCGGATAGGTAAAAAGCAATCGGAGCTACTACCATCCATCATCAACCTCCGAAGGCTTTTGCATCTGGTGAAGCCTGACAACTTTCGACAACGCCCACACGAATGTGACTTCAAGATTTGTGCAGTTCGGCATTTTCGCGATTGGGGGTGGCTATGATTAGCACCCTTGCATGCTCAAGTAGACTGCAGTTTAGGTCGACCTTCATCATTGAGATGCAATTACCGGTGCCGTTGCTGATGTGAGACTTCCAGCCTTACGATCAGGGTTTAGGGTCTATGCGGGTAGTTGTCAGAAACCAAGGTCCCTTTTTGGGTACCCTATATACTTGGTGCCGTATTATAATAGGGACCTAAAAAGGGGCCCTAATTTTCATATGGAGCTGTGCTTTCATTCTGGGTATCCCGCGCGCGAGCTCGAGCTTCCACGAGACACGTGATCGCCTGCCGCCAATTGGTGGCAGAAGGGATTAACAGTCTGCAGGAAAAGAGATTACAAGTTCGGGCTTGCAGCTTCATGATTCGGGCTTGTGGAGGTTTAATGTTCAGTTCAGACCAAATTCGTTTGTAAAAGTTGCATGGGAGTTTGTGCTCTCGATCATGTTGTTCTTAAGCCGCGGGGTTTGAAGGACCTTAACCCGTAACCGGAACCCTGCACCTTAATTGTAACGCCCAAACCCCGAACATCCCTGAACCCTTACCGTAAACCCTGACCTAGGCCCTACCCAGAGGCCCCAAAGTAGTTCCTTTTTGGGGTTCATACATAGAATCCTATTGGGTAATCCCCAAAAGGAACTACTTTGGGGCCTATGGGTAGACCCTAAACTATCCTACGCCTTAAGCCGTGAACTTTGCTGACTACACTGGGCAGTCTTCAATCAGCTGAGGTTGCTGTCAACCCTACACCCCTGCGTCGGAAAACCCGAAGGCTAAACCCGAGAACCCCCTTGGATCGAAATGCTGACTAGTTAGTTAGAATCAAGGCCTGACAATCACCTTGCTTGGTAGTTCTTTCGTTGAGTTATAACTTATAACTCATCGAAACGGGATCCTATTTGATCCTATCTGGGGGTTATGCTGCTTATAACGCCATAAAGCAACTACTTATGAACTCAGTCGCCAGCGACCCTCCAGCGACCCCCGGAAAGG